TGGTTTGGGCTAATGAGAAGGCTTGGTTTCAGACTCCGTATACGACGTTTGGGCAAAGCCCTGATGGATGTTCATCCCTTACATTCCCAAGAATAATGGGCCTGGCATCTGTAAGTAATCTGTAAAAGAAGTATGTACTGTATTTAATAATATTTCTAGCTTTGGTGCTCCCATTTGCGTCTTGCATATCCAACATGACCTAAGCGTAACTCTAGTCTCACAATGACATGGCTTGCATGCAACCGTTAAGCTAATGCTTCGTGCAAACCGAGAAAGAAGATTGTGGCTGCTTTGGTCCTCCTCTCCTGCGGTGCTGTGAGATTAGCCATGATTTGGCATAACATGACACATGAACCCAGGCTCACAGTTTGTCTCACTCCAGACAAACTGTGATGTGTAGCTAAGTTTGCTCTTGGTGTACAGCTTGTGGTTTGGAGGAGCAAAACTGCAAGCTTGGGTTCACACACACAGTCATCCTGCAAGTCTCACTGCTGGAAGTCTGGAAGAGGGACAAAGCAACCACAATCTTTTCTCCAGGAGTTCACATGCATATTTTGCACTACGCCATGGTTTAGCTTAGCATTATGTGAGAACTGAGCCACAGTTTATTTAAGCAGAGCACTAAAAAGGAAAAGTTTCACTGTCTTGCCTTATATATATTCCTCGTAATTAGTACACTTGAGCCAGTGCTCCTAAGGTCATTGTGTCTGCATTGAGGCTGTGTGCAATAAAAATACATTTCTTCTTTAAAAACAAAACAAAAAAACATGCAGCATTTCAGCTGCTCCAATGCTAGGAAACCATTTTCTACAGTTCTGATATGTAAAACCTGAGTGCTTTCAGTTTGTTTTAGAATTTTGGCAGCGGCTAAGAGTCTTTCAGTGTGCAAATATCTCTGGCTCTTGATCATTCATTGTCTGTTTGCTAACAGTGGCTGCAGTCCAGCATGCATTTTAGTGTGCTTAAATAGCAATGGTCCCAGCAGAACTTAAATTTTTGTGCCTGTTCTCCAGATTACTCCAGAATACAGCTCTCAAGTTTATAAAACTATAGCGTCCAGTCCAGGTGAAAATAAAAGTGGTTTTATTGGTGTTACATTTCTGAATCGCTTGCTGTTCTACATATTTTAATGATGCGTAAGGTAATATTTATAGGCAAACACATGCTCTTGACAGTATGCATGTCTTCACGCCACATTTATACCTTTCAGGCATGCATTGTGCAGTGTGAGAGTGACATTTCATTCACATCTATAATTTTGTATCACAAGAAATGAACCCAATACTGAATTAACTATTAACCAGATAACTTTTCTTAGTAAACAATAGCTTTATGTTGTTTCCCTCCTATGTAAGTTTGAAAGTAGCCTAAAAATGGCAATTCCTTCCTTCCTTGTATTGTTTTTACTCGGCTATGGTACTTCTATTTCTGCCAAAGATACAATCCTCACTGAGTAATACTTAAATTGTAATTATAATTCCTTTGCTAAATGTTGGTATGCTTTTAAAGCATGTTAAGAAGAGTATCAAGCATTCAAGAGAAAGGCAGTAACTCTTTCCTGGTGTTGGCAAGTTGCCTTTAAAGGAATGTAGTATGCCATCTGGAAAATAAAAGGATTTTTAATATATATATTTTTTAATCTTACAAATGATTAAATACATATAATATACTTTTAAATAAACTTAAGAGTTTAGAAGACAAAGACAAATTTACCGTAAAATTATCTGTAATATTGTTGACCACAGATCATTTTTGTACAAATCATATTATTATATGGAGGCATAATGCCCACTTTGAATTTCAGATTTCTGTCTGGGACTAGTGCTTGGACCACATGCTCCCACTTTGTCTCCTCCACCTGCTAGCTACCATATTTCAGTCCCCTTCTATCTAAACTATGGGTTTGTGTTATATATGAAAAAGCATTAGTGGCTAAATGTCAGTTTGCTAATCAGGAGCAAACCAAGATGAAACAGTTTTTCAAGATTCTGGTTTGTAATGCCAGCATGCAAAGGAAAAAGGTCCTATGGGGTGTTGCACACATCGTGGCCATAATATTAAGCTATCACCAAATCCTATTCAGTATTAGGCTATCACCAAATTTAAGAGACATTCCTGTTAGACAGGCATAGGCAAACTCGGCCCTCCAGGTGTTTTGGGACTACAACTCCCATCATCCTTAGCTAACAGGACCAGTGGTCAGGGATGATGGGAGTTGTAGTCCCAAAACATCTGGAGGACCGAGTTTACCTATGCCTGCTATTAGCATTGTGGAAATGTCAATTATGTCCCACTGCATCTATTCAGTCAATCAATCAATCAATCAATCAATCAATCATTGTTTTCCATCTCTTCTTCTTCTGGACAACTTTTTCAGACTCATGACACACTTGTCACCCCCTTCTGGCAGCATGTGACCTGTAGAATCGTAGAATTGGAAGGGACCATGAGGGAATTTTTGCCCATCGTAGGGCTTTGAACCCACAATAAGCGTCTCATGCTTTACCGACTGAGTTATCCCAAGGCTACGATATCCTTAGGCCTATTGAATGGCAGGGTGCAGTAACCTAGGCTTTTGTTGGGTTTATGAATATAGAAGCATAGACCCACTTTTATTTATTTTACTATATAGATCCATCTTTCACTCTCCTCCCCTTCTCTCTCTCTCTCTCTCTCTCTCTCTCTCTTCTCTTAAGGTGATGGCTTATTTCTTTCTTTTTAAGACAACTAACTGGGGATGTTGCTATTGGAAACCGAGTTTGGGGTCCTGACCTACTAGTTGAAGGCCTGTGCCTTAGTTTATGGGCGTTCCTTTAACTCTTTGGCCTTACCTTTAGCTGGAAGGACCATTGCACCTTTGAAAGGGAAACATGGCCCTGTAAAATCCTCTAAAGATAAAAAAAGGTTTGTTCTTTGAAGTGTTAATAAAATTGAATAGGTGACTAAGTTGTTGTGTTTTGTAATAAAACTGGTTCAGTGATCCCAGGCTTCCATTTCAAAATAGCCTTTCAATTGTAGTGTATTTAACCAGAAACATCTTGGCCTATAAGTATCTTATCAGTAATGTCCTGGCAAATGAAATAGAATTAGGTAGAACTTGAGCACCATTAAGCAAATAGCAGCCATGCGCCAGTTAGAAGTAACTTACACCTTGTCCAAGCTTTTAAATCTTTCCACATTTAAAGGTGCTTGAAGGGATATTATTTGCATGAAATGTTTCCTATTGAGTCAAACACATATATATTCCCAGGTGCAGTACTTCCACTATGTACCTGCCCAGGAGAAACAATCAGTAGTCTGTAATTTAGCAGAGCAGCCTGGAGGAATACCCATATTACATAATTCAGACTTAACTAGGTCAGACCCAAAGGTTCCAATTCTCTAAAGGAGTCCTTCCCAGCAGAAGAGAACCTTTGGATCCAACCCACTGCAATTAACGTTAAGTCTGGATACGTTCCTTAATTGTTCCGTTTCTGCAAGTGATGCTGAGATTGACTCTTCTGGGCTAGACAAATAGCAGAAAAGCTCCTTATGCTAAATTCTCTGTCCTGTTGATTAACAGCCTTGAAAGTAATGGTTTCTTTTCTTATGGCTACAGTCATTGGCTCTATAGCAAACCGTAATGGGAAGAGTGGATACCCCTGACATATGCCCATGTACAATAGAAAACTTTCAGAGTAGAAGCCATCGGCCCTCAGATTCAAATAACTGATCCAGTTTCTATGTCATAAAGAGATGCGAGATCAAAACTAAATATAATTAACAAGGGCTTCAGAAATGTAAAAAATTATCATACTAATTAATCAAACGTTTTTTTATCTATTTAGCTGTGTTGATTTTCTTTGTCTGAAATATAATTTATGTATGTTAGCTTGTTTGTGAATAACTTAATTTGGTCAGGATGAATGTATACTTTCATTAAGGAGTATGTATCAGGATGGAAGTAAAAGAATGGACACATCCTGCAAATACAATGCATGCAGCGTTCAAAATTTGCCAGGTGCATTTTGTACCTGGTCATCGGCCATTGGATGGCACCTGATGTCTTTACCATCTGGAGGTGCATGCCTGGGGATCCTTGGATCCTGATGGTTTTCACATACTAACAACACATCCTGTTGAATTCTCTCTCTGATATTTTATCTGCACAATCAGAACGAATTTCAGGAACTAAAAGTTATATTTAAAAATATGACTTTTGAGGCGTCTGGCCCCAAAACGGCAACTAGGCATTCCGTTTTGGCAACTGTAACCCTGGTTTAAGGAGACATTTGGTGCCTAGCTTATATTAATCGCAGCCTGGAGTCTTGGTAGTTGTGCCCCCCCCCAAGCTTTCCTAGACCTTAACTTCCACTGTCAGAGTGAGTTTAAACCGTTATTGATACTCTCCTTGTCTAGAGATTCAGATGTATATATAATTTACAAAATTCTACAAGTTTTTGAATCACTTTAGCTAGATCACTTCCCCCTGAGCGTTCTATATCTATGAAATTTAATGAATTAGTTATAGATCATTTTAGTAATGAATTGGACATGAGGGAATGCCTTCAAGATATTAATGTGGGATATCTTTATTAGGCAGCCCTTGTTTAAAAGTCCTTGGAGAATGAACACAGGAGCTTGAAAAACTTGCTAAATTGGAGAAAAGGTCTAAGCAACACCATAGATGCTATGCAGTAGAATTAGTATTCAGGAAGAAACTTGCCTACTCAAGCTCTGACAAGACGGAATAGACTCTGGATTATCTGATTCATTGTGAATGGAAAAGTGGAGCAAATTGTTCGTTGGAATATGGATATTGTCAAGTACAATATGGTCTGCATTTGTAGACAAATGGTCTCCATTTGTTGACATTACTTTATTGCTTATCCAAACATGCTTGTAATTTTATCGAGGAATGATCAGATTCGCCCAGTTGGTACCATTTCCATTATTAGATAAAAATAATAAAGCTTTGTGTATTATTTCTGCAATAAACAAAAATATATTCAGTCTTTGCATACATCAATCAATCAGTCATTTTATTTGTATGCCACCTTTCCAAAGTTTAAACCATGCTCAAGGCAGCGTACAACTTATGGAAAATTATGTAACTCCAAACATAACAAAAGTAGTCATAAACAGTAGACAAAACATCAAAAAGTACACAACCAAATTGAACAATATAAGAGGCAACATAAAGACACAAAAAATTAACAGCAACGACCCCCCCCCAAACAATACCCGAGCCAAGGATTCTGTTAGCAGCCTCAGCTTTTGTAGCTGGAGTCAGTCAGGGCCTTCCCAGGCCAGGTGGGAAAAGTCTAGCAAGGGAGGGAACAAGTCTTCCAATACTCAGAGCCAAGATGCATGCTTGTAAAGGGCAAAATAATCCATTGGCTGTGCATTGCTTCTCACTGGAAGACCTACAGTGCAGTCTTCACAGATATTTCAGACTTGCTTGAGGTAGGAATAGGCGATAATAAAAATGCCAATGTAGTCGTTTCTCCCCTCCCCAGGATAGACAGAAATAATGATTAAGCAGCACTGAAATATTTGTCATGGGATTTGGCTTCCCAGGAAGCCATTACATGGCAGATCTGTGATCAGATTTCCCCATTGTCAAAAAGGAACAGTATCATTTGTAATGATAAATGACATTTAATTGGTCTTGAATACCATTGTAAACACATGTGGCTGAACCGTTCATTTTTGTTAAAGTAACGTTTGCTTAAATTTAGTCTTCCTCTCTGCAAGCTCCTGCTGATAAAACTCTCATAGGTTTAGAAATGCATTTAATTACACAGGGTAAAATTGATGACATTTGAATAGAGCTTCTGTCTAATCAGTTGGCATCTTTAAAAGTTGACAGCTCAGTTTTTGCTCATATTTTCTCATGCACTGAAATGCTTATATCTGCATTCTGGCATGTTCAGATAACATAATAATAGGAAAACCTCTGATATCTAATCACAGCTTCTTGTTTGAAGCCTGGTGTTTTCATACACCTTTCCCCCTGCCTTTTTACATTTTCTTTCTTGGGATGTATAGGAATTGTCAAAGCTGCTGCTTCTCCTCCCCCCCCCTTTTTTTTAAAAAAAAGGAATTTCCAAACCACCTGTGATTTTACAGCTGTAATCACATTTCCATAGATGCTCATGCAGAACGTTCTTTGGGCATGTAAATACCTCCTTTGGGTAGTAATGGTCCTGTCAAGATTTGTATGTTAGTGACATCAGTGGAACTATTGCAGTTTAGCAAGCTTGTAAACTGAGCTGAATGGCATATGTAAATAGTAGCACTGATTTGATTTTGTGATAATGTTGGTGACATTTTGGGTGTCCTTTGTTGTGAGAGGTCCTTTGTGTGGCTATCAGTCTCCGTATTAATTATTCAAATTTCTTCAACCCTCCAAAGAGTAAAAAAAATATGCTTTGATTTCAGGAAGTTGCAACAATGCTAGTTGAGTTTTGGACTCTTGGGTGAGGGTCTTCATCATGCTTTGAGTTTATGAATGTGTACATGCATTTGGAATTTTGCACGGCTTGTTTATATCATTCACAGCTTCCCCTTTCAACTTGTATAACACACTTTAAAAAAAAAGCTTTACATTTCCTGGCATCAGGGATCTTTAACACATTAAAAAATCATATATAAAAATCTTTTTTATGGTATATTTGATAGTGACTGTGCGGTTGGATATTAGATAACACATTTTGGTGAGACTATGGCTACAAATCAAAGGTTTGTGGGCTTTCTTGTGCAACACTAGCACTGTTTCACCCCACAGCCATGAGAGAGGATTTACACATTTGTAAACTTGGGGACGCCCATTTGCATGTCTGTGAGTCATTTTGTGATATGGCTCAAAGCCACTCCATTATTTAACCAAGTATTAGTCATGCTAAAATATGTTCAGTCTGTCGGCTCTTTTCATGCATCATGTTTAGTTCACAAATTAATTTGAATTCACTATCCATATTTCAGTTTTCACAATATCTGAAATTTTTATCACAGTTTAAATCCATTCAAGCCATTATTTTAAAATCTGAAAAGCTAGTGTGTCCAAATTAAAATACATCTATAATATTTGCATGGTAACTTGTATAACAATTGGCATCCCCAGTATTTTGTATAAGAAGTAGCAGCTCAGTTGCATTGGAACCAGGGTTGCCACCCCTTCCCTTTAAAAGGGGAACAGTACCATTTTGGCAGTACAGAGCCCCCTGTCCTGTTTGGCCCCCAATTTGTCCCATTTTTGAAGTCATAAAAATAAAAATTGGCATTTGTGTGCTCACCCAAACTTGCTTGTGTTGCGTGCAATCAAACATGGCTTTCACTGAAAAAAACAGTATGCCATAATCTGATGCACAAAGAAGTTTGATACTCAAATGTATGCAAGTGGGTGTTTGGCTGAAACTTAAATGGGCAGACTGTGATAGCACTGGATCATTTAAGCCAAAGTCCTGCTAGCTAAAATGATTTCAAGTGGAAATTGTTCTCAATTTTACCTGTACAAACTAGACTGCTTTCCAAATTAAACAAGAACAACAGAAATCAAAGTGCCTATTTTTACAAACTTTTGTTTCAAAGTTTGTGATCTGCCTATAATAATTGCTTTGTCTCAGTCTAAAAAAAAGAAGAGATGCTCTCATTGAATGGAGCGAGCTCTGTTTCTGGAACAAGTTAGGTATTTATTTATTTGGATGATTTATGCATTACTTGTCCCCATAGTCTCTTATTATAAATGGATATGTCACAATGCAGTATGTGTTTACCTTACTTTGGCACCAACAATTTTACCTACAAGATCCATTGATGTGAGGAATTTGGGTGTGCAATTCTCATCGGCATCCAAAATGAAAATATACCGAATTTCCATAATTAAAGATGAATAATACTGTCTAGATTCAAGCCAATTAAAAATGTGAAACTCATTGCATTTGCAGGATCTTTCAAGTATGTAATATATTAACAGGATTAAAAAAAGTTTTTAAGAGCATTATTTATTTATTAAGCAAATGTTTGGCATCATCATTTAGTATCTGCTGCTTATGCAGAGTTTCTGTTTATCCCACCATGCCATTTGCTTTCATGCTTGTCTAGTGCTACAGGCTTTAATTGGCTGGTCAATCAACTAAGCCAATCTGAATCAGTGAAGGTTGTAATTAAGGGCACACTTGCTTGTTTTGCTCATTTATTCAACAACGATAAGGACAGCGAAAGAAAATATATTTTAAAAAATACCTTTCTAAGAATGTTTGGGGGTTTTCTTTCTTTAATGGTTGCTTCCCAATTCCTTCATTATCTGATGCAAAGATCTATACTGAGATTTTAGCAGAGTGCACATTTTAAAAGCAATTCAGCTGAGAGACCTAAATTGTATGCCATGCCAAACCGCTTGCACTGTAACTGTGTCACTTCTAGACAGGGCCTTGCACAATAGCACTAAATATTTATTAGTGGTAGATTTAGTCTTTGATTTTGTTTCAGTCCATGGAAAAGGAAAAACAGAACAAGAAGAAATAGTCCAGGCCAGTAAATTGTCCCAACCTGTAGAGGCATTTCTAGAAACAGCAAGGTTTGTATTCAAAATGTTTTGATAACCTCGTCATATTTCATGTTACAAAAAACATTGCTATTTTCCTCAGGCAAATGAAATGTTATTCAGTGGAAGGAAACTGACTGCACAAGAAGCATGTGCCAAGGGACTGGTGTCGCAAGTTTTTTGGCCAGGAACATTCACACAAGAAGTCATGGTTCGAATTAAGGAACTTGTCACATGTAATTCAGTTGTAAGTTTCTTTTACCTTATTTCACTTAAGGCTGAATAAGTGATTTGTAGTTGTTATAGTGGCTAAGCAACACTTCGCATAGTGAATTTTCTCAGTGTTTGAGCAGTGCTGAGCCCTCCCGAGCCCTGAATACGCCCCAAAACATGGGGAAGCCAATTGGGTTGTGTGATAATAATAATAATAATAATAATAATAATAATAATAATAATAATAATAATAATAATAATAATATAAATAACAAACTTTTATTTATATCCCGCCCTCCCCAGCCAAAGTTAGGCTCAAGGCAGCTAACATCAGATATATAACATTGGTATAAAATCAAACAATAATTAAATTAAATTTAAAAATATGCAGGTAGAAGCAATTTCCGTAATTATGCCAACATTTTCCCCAGTGGCCTTGAATGCAAGAATAGCTGTTGTATCTGCATAAAGTCTTGATCATACTTTAGTTACATGAAATATATGCCCAACTACATCATGGGAAAGCTTGTTTGGAGGGTCAAGTGAGTGTGAACTGATCCCATGGATATTTAACTATCCTAATATCCACCTGAAAGCTGTCCACACTTGTAATACAGGTTTTAAATAAGCTCTTTCACATGTTGTGGGAATTTTTATATAAATCTGGAAAGTGAACCTCGGCAGCTTTATAAAGTTAGTCTTACATTTTAGAGTAAGAATCACAGTTGTACTGAGGTAGCTAGCCAAAAATATATTGTTCTAAACTGTAGATAGAAAGAGCTCCTTTTAACTGCTTTGATATTTGAACAGAGTGTCCATAGCGGTGTTTTGTTTCTGTTTATATTTGCTTGGATAAGACAGACCAAAAATAACCAACCCCCCACCACCCTGCCATCACATCAAATAAATATTTAGGGTTAAATCTACAGGGTTCCACCCTGCTTAGTCCTACTTACATACCGTATTTTTCGCACCATAGGACACAGTTTTTCCCTCCTAAAAAGCAAGGGAAAATGTGTGTGTGTCCTATGGAGCGAATGCAGGCTTTCGCTGAAGCCTGGAGAGTGAGAGGGGTCGGTGCGCACCGACCCCTCTCGCTCTCCAGGCTTCGGGAAGCTATCCGCTAGCCGTGGGAGACCCAGCTCTCCCACGGCTAGCGGAGCGCTGCATTAATCTCGAAGCTTGGGGCGTGCGGAGCTCAGCGCGCCCCAAGCTTCTGGGTGCCGGCAAGGTCTCCGCTAGCCGTCTAGCGGAGACCTTGCCGGCACCCAGAAGCTTGGGGCGCGCTGAGCTCCGCACGCCCCAAGCTTCGGGATTAGCGCTCCGCTAGCCGTGTCTAGGCTGCGGATAGCAGCCTGCTTCCCGGAGCGTCGGGCGCCCTGAAAGCAGAGCACCTGGCGCTTCGGGAACACATCCGCAGCGTGGGGAGCCTTGCAGGAGTTCCCCACAGGGCTCCCCATGCTGCGGATAGCAGCCTGCTGCCTGGCGGGTGGGGCGCCCTGAAGCAGAGCGCCCCTCGCGCCAGGCAGACATCCGCAGAGTGGGGAGCCCTGCAGGAGTTCCCACAGGGTTCCCCACGCAGCGGATAGCAGCCTGCTTCCCGGAGCGTCGGGCGCCCTGAAAGCAGAGCGCCCGGCACTTCGGGAACACATCCGCAGCGTCGGGAGCCTTGCAGGAGTTCCCCGCAGGGCGCCCTGAAGCAGAGCGCCCCGCGCGCCAGGCAGACATCAGCCAGCCCCACAAGCTCGGGGGACAGCAGGGAGGTGCAGCGCCACTATCCTGCTGTTCCTCGACCTGGTTCGTTTTCCCTGACCTGCTTTTGGGGGGGAAATAAAGGGAAATTTTTTCCCCTTTATTTCCCCCCCAAAAAACTAGGTGCATCCTATGGTCCGGTGCATCCAATTGTGCGAAAAATACGGTAATAAAAAATAGTATTCAATGCAGCCCTCATGCTACGCTATGCATAGGTTGAGCTTATTAATGAACCAGAGTCAGAGATGCAACAAACATTATTTGGTTTTTTCTGCGTTACATAATCATTACTGAAAATATTATTTTTCTGTCATAATTCTTAAATTCACACCTGGGTTCCAGCACAGTTAAGGCATTTGGGGAGCAATTGTATGCACAGGAAGCCTGCATAAAGCAAGCTGGTGTAGTAATAATAATAATAATAATAATAATAATAATAATAATAATAAAATAAATAATAAATAATTTTATACCCCGCCCATCTGGGTGGCTTCCAAAATACAATAGTCCATCAGACATTAAAAGCTTCCCTAAACAGGGCTGCCTTCAGATGTCTGAAGCCTACTTCTTAACCCTCTGGTTGCACTCCTTTTGAAGGGGCTCGCATTCAGCTCAGCTGGCTGGGCCAGGATAAGCAAGCTATGCCGGCTTATCTTCAGCTCAGCTGGTGTAGAGGACCTTACCACCAGCTCTGAAGTGTTTCCCTTCATTGTGTACCATCTGACAGGTGCTCATGACTTGCTCATTTCTACAACTCCGTGTGGCAGACAAAGAGAGCAATGGCCTATTCTTTTTAACTTGGAGGAAGAGTTACATCTTTCTAGTTACCAAATATTATGATTGTGCGTAATGTCCCTGATTGTGCGGTGAACTGTAAACACATTTAGTTGAGCCTGCTCACAGTTCCCCTTCAGACCCTCCTGATCAGGTTGGGAAAGCTGAGGTGGAGGAGGCTGGGCTGTCCTTGGATAAAGGTAAAGGGACCCCTGACCATTAGGTCCAGTCGTGGCGGACTCTGGGGTTGCGGCGCTCATCTCACTTTATTGGCCGAGGGAGCCGGCATACAGCTTCCAGGTCATGTGGCGAACCAGAGCAGCGCACGGAAACACCGTTTACCTTCCCGCCGGAGCAGTACCTATTTATCTACTTGTACTTTGACGTGCTTTCAAACTGCTAGGTTGGCAGGAGCAGGGACCAAGCAACAGGAGCTCACCCTGTCGCGGGGATTCGAATCACCAACCTTCTGATCGGCAAGTCCTAGGCTGAGTGGTTTAACCCACAGTGCCACCCGCGTCCCTGGATAAAGCTTAGGGACTCCTCAAGTCCCTCTCTGTCCATGTTAGCCAGCCATTTCCCAACATTCCATCCCACTCAAGCATGGCCGAGAAACAGAAAGCAGATCAGGTAAATGCAGAGAGGGGTTAACCCCCACTCGAAGACGGTGCATGCCTTGATTCCCTTCCCCCATGGAAACAAATGGTAGCCATTCACTTAACACAGGAATGGGTAAAATTCAGTTATCCCGTCCCTCAGTGATCTGTCTCCTCCCTGAGTGTGGCTATGTATTGTGTTTGGTGGTGGGGTGCCTCTGTTCACAGTGCCTGTTACCTGCTCTCTTTCTCTTATAATTTAATTATTTATATAAGTATTGATATATTGGATGGTGGCCTCCATCAATATATACAGTGAAAACGTACAGCAGCCAAAATGATCATTAAAATTGTCATTTGCAACAGAATAGCTGCCATTGAGCTTCACCCTTCCTCTCAAATATTGCAAAGGGGGCAGTGTCCTCCACCCACGACATGAAGGCACCTGCCCTAACCAATGAGTGTGCAACGCACACTCTTCTTTGCGCTATGCCTAACCACGTCATATTTCCTGTTTTGTATAACCACATGCTTATTGTATCTTCTTCATTTTATGTAGGTACTTGAAGAATCCAAAGGTTTAGTTCGTAGTATTATGAAGGTGGACTTGGAACAAGCAAATGACAAGGAGTGTGAAGTTCTAAAGAAAATTTGGGGTTCTGCTCAAGGAATGGACTCAATGTTGAAATATTTGCAGAGGAAGATTGATGAATTTTGAAGAGATGCTCATTGACACTGGAATTGTATTTACTTTGGGACATCTGGGTTTTATGGATGCTCTAAACGAATTTAAAAGTCCAACGCTCAGAAAAGAGTGGGACTAAAGCTCGAGAACTTCTTTTTATTGTCAAGGTTTTTTTAAAAAAAAATTAAAGAAGTACTGTATGTTAAGCATTGAACAAATTTCCTTTCTCCATATATAGATTATAAATATATATATTATATTTCTTTATATACACAAACTAAAAAAAAAACTATAATGGAGTGCACTACCAAACTTTTGTCTTCTACTTTATCATTGGCTAGTACTGTATCGGAAGAAAAAGGTGGATAAAATGAGGTGTTGCGTTATTTTGTATGTGGCAGGAAGGTCCTGAAGCAATGAGATATTTTTTCACTAGAGTACAGAATTGAAACGGGTATTGGCCAGCCCTTACTTTCACTGCCCAAAAAGAGTTAGTTGAGAAGAAGGCATTGCCTTGAATTCTGAGGAAGGTTCTAAATACCTCAAGTAATGATGCATTCAGAAAAAAAACAATTATTTTTTAAAAGAAAACCCTGTAATTAAATGGTCTATTTTCTCTGTCTCTTCTCCCTGCCCCCCCCCTAATCCCCACCTCCTTAAAAAAATGAGTGTGCTCAGGATTTATGCTATAAAAAACACTCAGCCCTTCTTGTTTGGGGGAGGATGCCCAATTCCTACCCAGAGAGCATAAAGAAGCCAGTCTGTCGTTGAAAAAGAAGCTTCATTTGCAGTATTAGTGAATCACTGAAATACCATATATACTATGGATAGCTTAGTCTTAGCGGGTTTTATTATTTTAACTACATAATTGCTTCTGTTGCTGGGTGAGAAAACAACTCTATATAAGTTTTTGTTGTTGTTTTTTGGTTCTTTGGTTTGCTCTTTTTGTTCTTCTGTTTGAATTACACCAAAAAATGTATTTTATTTTATTTAATAAGTTAAAATTTCTTTTGGCACACTATTAAATATTCCCTTTCTTTACAAAAACAAAAAACAAACCTTACCTTATATTAGATGTTTAATATCTTTTGTTTTTAGTTTGAATTATACACTATGGCCCTGATCCAGAGATCTTTCCACGAAGCAGCAGCAGGCTGCATGCGTTCTGCAGTGGATGAGGATCTCCACTGCCAGACGATCAGCACTGTCAGCTGATTTCATGTCAGAGTGGGTTCTTGGAATCGGCTCCTCTGCCTTCAAGTTAGAAGAATCATCCATCTGTTTGGCAGTGCATACTTGATACAAGAGTACCACACTGCAAAACCCAGATGCTGGATGCAATTTTCTCTTCCCTGCCCCCGCCCACCCTCCACAGTGCCCTTTTGTGCTCATGGGACTGCATCCAGAAAGGCACTATGCCCATGAAAGCTTGTTTTCCATGTGCAGATTGCCATTATTGGATCAGCATGCATAAAATATGCAGTATTGATGCACAAGAGTGACCTTTGTAAACAATACCTATTTTGCATTCCTTTCAGGGGTGTGTGATGATTCCTGACTCCAGATATCTATACTTGGGTATCTGTTTGCAATCTTACTGAATGTATGAAGAATGGGGGCGGGTGGGTGGGGGGAAGGAATCAAACATTATTTTTGTACAGTTTGGAACTTTATACTTGGAGCCTGACCACCTCATCCTAGTGGAGAGTTGTACAGTGTGTAAATCTGCTTTTACCTTGGATTGGTACAGTATTTTTGCATCTGTGGGACCTACTTTTTTGTTGTTCTAGTAGTTTGAACTATATATAAACTGTACAATCTGTAAAGTTTTTATAGAATAAATATTCAGCTGTGAACTGGTTAAAATAAAACTAATATTTCTTAACACCTCTTAAAATTGCTGCAGTGTGTAGCTCTCTTTCTCCTCCATCTCCCTGCCTTCACTCCCCCAGGAAATACTTCATTCCAGCTTTACAAATCCTTTTAAAATTGCAGTTTTCGTGTAAACACTGCTAGTTATCCTGAGACTGTTCTACTTAATTTCCTCATTTGCAGACATAGCAAATTAAAACAGTTATAGAAAAGGTCAGGAGGTTAACACTTCAATCTGGTATACCTCTTAGATGATTCAGTGTAGATATAACAGGATTAGCTCTTTCCATCGGTGTCAAGTGGAAAGTTCAGTCTCGGCTACAAACTTCACTTGCATTGACTCTTAGGCCTTAGGCAAAAATAAAAGTACAGAAAAACACACATGATGATATTCTTCCAAATGACAGTTATCTTCACATACCAGAAGCAATTACGGAACTTTTTCTACATTTTAGAATCTAGGCCAATTTTTGGTTTTCCACCCAACCATCTCATTGTACCATGTTTTTTTTTTAATGAGCTTTAAGTTTCTATTCCTAGTTATTTTTTAAAAAGGAAGAGAGTCTTTTTGATGGTGTGAGCCAGTATGATAAACCTTCAGTGTTGTTGTGTTTTTTAACTTTATTTTATCCAACAGTGAGTTGTACAGACTTCCAGTTTGTCTCAGTAAACTCTGCTACGCTAGTGTTCCATTAAAAAAAATAAAAATCAGTTCCTCTTCTAAAAAGCGTATTCTGTAATCTGGGGACCAACCTGAAAGCAGCCATGTTGTCAAGTATGTGGAGATTTTACTACATTGGCTTGTATCTCCCTGCTGCACATGAGAATAGACAGATCTGAAGAAAAACATGCAGAGTATTTTGGATAGTTATCCCTCGGGCCTTCTACTCACACCCTACCACACAAATCCATTTGCCTGTCCATAGGGCCCACCTGGCTGATTTGGATAATGAGCACCCCTCCCATCATATTCAGAATATTTTTTTAACGGTTTAACGTTTATTAACTGGGTGGCTCACAAATAATTAAAATGTACAATAATAAAAGCAATTAGAAAAGGTGTTTTTCTATTTTAAAAAAATCAGGATCAGGCCATAAGATGCAAGTTATTTGGGAGCTGCACCTAGCACAAAGAGGTGTATGGAACAGGAAGGTTGTTCCATAATGTGCTAGTACCAAAAAGGTGGCTCTCCACCTTACTTCATTTAGTGGGGGGAACTAAGAGCTGGGTCTCTAAAGAAGATCTTAAGGTTCAAGTGAATGCATATAGGTAAAAGTGTCCTTTTAGGTACCCAAGCAATTCAGGTTTTTAAGGTTTAAAGCCAGCCCTTTAAATTGGGCCTTGAAACAGACTTGGAGCCAATACAGCTGACAAAGTACAGGTCTTTTAGGAGTGGGACCATCTAGAAGTTCAACCATTGCTCAATAATTTGAAACACTGAAATAGTTCAAATTAAACGAAAATAAACTTACCAATACATAACCTTGTATAGACAAAAACATATAGTGATTCCTGCCTCTAAGGAGGATGCCATCTAATTCTGGAAGAAAGATAGTGCCACAGCCTAAAGGGTCCTGTTCCTTGTCACCATCTGCCTTACTTTGGAATGCAGTTGCACCCAGAAGAAGGCTTTTGATGAGTTTTTGCTATTAATAACAATTTATGAATCACCTACATACATTTCAAGGTGATTTATTGACACACCATAAAAACCCCCCAGCTAAAATCATTTTAAAGATTGCACAAAAACAACTGAAGATAGAGGTTAATTTTGTATTGTTCTTAAACCTAAGACAGAGGCTTTTTTATCCAGATGGAAATGCTCGTCAAAACAAAAACGTATTCAGTTATTTCTGGAAGGTACAGATTCTGGGTGCCTTTCATGTCTCTGCCACAATGCCATTCCACAGAACAGGGGAAGACATACTGAAAGCCATGCTCCAAGTTACTGTAGAGCAGACTTCTTGTATTTCTGGAATATTTTTTTGAGAAACTCCTGCAAATCATACTGAACTATATGTTCTCAATACACAGGCTGGTAAATGTGAGGAAAGGCATTCTTTCAGGAACTCAGGATTGCTGAGATGTTGGGGAAGTTTAAGCTTAATAAATTCGATTTTTCTTGCACCTGTTGACTGGCTAATATTCATTTTCCTCCCCTCCCTGTCCTCCCTGCATTTGTTGCTTTGTTTAGTTTCTTGGTGGGATTTGGTCCTATTTGTTATCCTTTCATACTCTAGAGGCAATGACCCAAAGGACAGGAATGGAGCAGCTCTTTCTCCCATCTGCCGCTTCCAGAGTTCTCAGTCAGGGTCTCAAAGGGGATCTCTGAGATGTTACCTCTCTCAACAGTAAGAGATCATACCAAGAATCCCAACGTTCATTACTCCATGCACGTATTTTGCAACCTCTCATAGGCTCTCAGCCCACAGTTGTGTGGTAGACAATAAAGAATGATTGTCAGACTCTAATGACAAAATTTTAACAGCATTTTTTTTAGGGTGTTCTGCTTTGTAGAAAGCAATGATGCAAGCAGAATGTGACATCACTGAATTACAGCATGTTGCTCATTCAGAGATACTCTGTCAAACACTTGATCAGTAGTTTTATTCTTGTTATGAATAGCTTCATAGATGGCTGCAGCCATGGCCTCTGGATTACATCATTAAGCATTGGTTTCAATTATGAATCACTGAGTCACCCTGTTCTCCAGTCTCTAGTTGCATCCAGGAAGCAAAATTGTGCAACCCTACCAATGAGTCTGAAATTATCTCATGGACTGTCCATGGTTATAAGCAAGATGCATTCATCTGGGAACGTCTTGTGGTTGGACATTAAACATACCAATTATTTTAAAAGAATAATTAAGGTTAAGTTGGAACTTGAATCAAGTAGGAAGGTCTTGAAACCTGTTTCAAAAAACTGTACCTTGAAATGGCACTTCAGATAAATGCATTTAACATTATTGTTGCCAATATGAAGGGAAGAGGTTCCACAATCATAGGAACAGGTGCCTGGCTTGCTGTTCTGCCCACAAACACTTGGTTGAAACTAGCACTACCCAAGCCATATGGGAAACTCTGGCCCACAGATTGTATATTAATATATTTTGCATTTTATGTATGAAGTTTCTATTCCACCCTTCCTCCCAAGGGCGCCCTTTCTGGTACTGACCCTGCAAATAGGAGCAGAGCCCCAGTAAAATGGTGCCTCCAACTCCCCATCCCCAAGTCATTCCACAGGGACACCATGGTCAGTGGCGTCTAAAGTCACTGGGAGATCAAGGAACACCAACAAGGCTGTACTTCCTCTGAACTTGATGACGCAGCAATCCTCTCAAGAACTCCTATAGGCTTGAAAACACTGGCAGCATACTGCAAGGAGAGCAAACTAGAACTAAATTATCAGAAAATCAAGATCATGTGCTTTGCCAAAAGGCCCAAACCTTGCTCATGCCATAAGATTGCTCAGTGGCCATAAGACTGAGCAGCTCACCTGATGCAAATATTTGGGTATAACCCTTCACTCCTCGGAAAGTAGAAATGCCTACAAGGTTTACGTTGTAGGGAATGCCCAGAGAAGCGCAAATGCAATGCTCAGGTACCTCAGGACTAAAGGCGGACAATATATACCTGCAGCCCTCAAATTGTTTGAGGCCAAATCCATTGTGCAGCTTGTATATGGTGCCCAATTAGGTCCCCTTAACAATTGTGCGCCATTAGTACTGGTACAATCTAAATTCTTAAGATCAGCCCTACAAGTGTCTAAACACGTCTCCAAAGCTACCACACGTCTCGAAACTGGATTTGCAAGAATCGAGGCTAGAGGATGGCTCACCACACTAAATTACTGGCTAAGACTATCCTTTTTCCCATGTGGCCTTGCTCCCTTAACTTTTAAGGTCAGTTTCCAAACGACATGGAAACGTGCAATGATAAACATAGTAACAACTCTAGGCTTCACCCCGCAGATCCTATTCAACATGGGGTATGAACAAGCCAAAAAAAGCATCAAACAGCACGTGGAAGACACCAAACGCCAAGCAGATCTAGCCAGGTCCCCAAAAATTTTAATCAGTGAAACCAGAAGATACCTCACCTCCCAGATGCCATATACAGTGGTACCTTGAGGTAAGAACTTAATTCATTCTGGAGGTCCGTTCTTAACCTGAAACTGTTCTTAACCTGAGGTACCACTTTAGCTAATGGGGCCCCCTGCTGCCGCCGCGCAATTTCTGTTCTCCTGAAGCAAAGTTCTTAACCCAAGGTACTATTTCTGGGTTAGTGGAGTCTGTAACCTGAAGCTTCTGTAACCCGAGGTACCACTGTATAACCAACCTTGAAATTCCAAAACAGCGAAGAGCTTTCACTCTGGCCTGTTGCCAGGCCCTCCCTTCAGCCATCCAGGAGGGCTGCTTTAGGAAGACACCATATGGGGAGAGGAAATGCCCGTGTGGCTCTGGGCAACTGGAAACAACCGAACATGTCTTTTTTCTCTGCCAATACTATACAGATATACGAGCTAGGTTCATCTTGCCTGTATTACATAAATTCCCAGGTCACACAGAACAACTTTATACCTCCCTGCTACTTCCAAGATGAAAACCCATGTTACATACTCAGTTGCTAGATTCTGCACTGCCCCAATGGATATTCATCCAAAGGATGGTTTGTGCCACAAACTAGGCCCAAAATGCAAGACCTGTGCTCCTTCACACTCCCTCCCTTATAGTCACTTTTAACTGTTTGTCTCTGTTTCTATGTTTTTACGTATGTATAATATAATCACCTTTTAATTACTAGTTTTTATTCCTTACCTGTTTTAAGTCTTGTGTGTTTTAAGTCGTATGTTTTATCTTATGCTAACCTGCCAACCTAGCAGTTCGAAAGCATGTCAAAGTGCAAGTAGATAAATAGGTACCGCTCCGGCGGGAAGATAAACGGCATTTCTGTGCGCTGCTCTGGTTCGCCAGAAGTGGCTTTGTCATGCTGGCTACATGACCCGGAAGCTGTACGCCGGCTCCCTTGGCCAGTAAAGCGAGATGAGCGCCGCAACCCCAGAGTCGGCCGCGACTGGACCTAATGGTCAGGGGTCTCTTTACCTTTACCTTTAACCTGTGACCAAAATAAAGTTTGATACCGATACTGACACTCTGTATCTTTCCTGATAAAGGTAATCAGTCAAGCTGAGCAAGGGTACTAAAACCAGGTCTGAAACCAGACTAAAATGGGTCTCAAATATCTGCTTCCTCCAGGCACAACTGCAGCTGGCCAACTACCACCCTATTTATCCCATTTTTCAAACCATTATTTTATTCCAAAGCAACTTGCTTCAATAAAGCAGAGGCAGGCACTGCCATCAGGCTTTCAAATATACTCAAGGGAAAGGAAGCAGGGTGAACAGGTAGAGAAGGAAGATCAATTCTTCAGTGCAAGAACAAAGTGGTGAGCTATAAATGAGCATTTGGGACTAGATGCTCTTCCCTTGCACCTGTTCTTGTCTGAACAGCAGGCAGGGACTCTTGTTCCTTTGGCCAAATGATAGGGCCTGAGTGCCCTTTCCCCATTGCAGGCACAGGGCAACTGGCAGATTAATGCAATATGTTAATTGGTCAAATTAATTTGTAACTTTTTGTGTCTTTCACCCACTCGTGCAAAAGGGAACAACAAAAAATCACTACGTACTATATGTTCCCTCAATCTAAAGTGTAACACACACTGTATAGTACTGGTGTCATTTCTAGCTAACTGACCAAAGTGAGCAAGTTGGTTTATTTCTCACCTTGTAAATGTTTTGATTCCACTGGTCACCAGAGATTCTGGAATGAAGCCTGGCAGATTTGTTTAGGGCACACTTCTAGGTTTCACATTTGAATGTCAGATTGATTCCCTTGCCCATTTTCAAAGGAGAAGGGAAAATGCAAATTAATGAAATATGACCTCTCACCTGAAAACTGACATAGCAGAATGTCTCAAATGCTCTTTAAGATCTTGCTGTATGATTTGCTTTATGCAGCATTAGAGTTACAGCCCTGCAAAGATTACACACATGCCTTAGACTGACCTAATAAAGATACCTTTGGCCTGAGCTAATAATTTACAATGCCTATGGTTTTCAGGGAGTGACGTATGAGCTATCTGCAAATGAGTATGTATGAGCTTTATAGACACTTGTGTCTAAGACCACATATGACATTCGGCAATAAACAAGTTAATTTGAACTAAACCTTAATCCTGAACATGCAACATTGCTGCAAATCTGAATAAGGGCACTTTCACAATCAAAAGGGGTTAATTCAAAGCCATTTATGTTCTAGCTGTGAATTGGGACACAACAATAAGCCATTTGATTCTTTATTTTTACAAAGAAGCCAAGAGTGTGGTTCATATTTTACCTTTTGAAGAGGTGTGACTTCTTCTCTTAGGAGCCCTCCATGGGTAAATGCAAGTACTCTGCTCTAAAAGCTCTGGTACTCATAGCAATGGGGCTTGTTTCTATTAACTCAAGGGTCATGATACATTATATGGAGAATGGAGATCCAACCAGCTTTAAAAACATCCAGACATAACATAGCTTGCTATTTTCTATGGACACAATCCTCCAAATATTGATGTTGCACAACCTCCATTTAAATGAACAGAGCTGCAGTAAAACTTGGAAGATTTACAGATCTTAATCCCCACCCCCCCACCCCAAGTAGAATTTATAAGATTTTACTTAGTCTTTGTTCCACCGATTAAGGAGTAGAGGGACTGAATGATATTGAATAAAGGAATGATACATGGCTCCCCCCTCTATCCTCACACTGTTTTGAAGGGGAATGCTTCTGTTTTGTAATCTGCTGTATGTGCTACAACCACCATTTTTTTTGCTGGGGGTGGGGAGGGAAGACAGAAGAGAAATCAAGGCTCTAGTTGATATCCCCCCCACCCCAGTCAACATGGATCACTAAAAGACAACCTGTCTTTGCACAACTAAAGTGATGACCTAGTACAGGGGAAGTGTTGCCACGGAAACAAAATACCTGGGGCTCCATGTAGAAGGGTGCATGTCTTTCTTCCCTCCTGCCGTGGCTGGAGATGTAATCAATGTTTCTGTGTCTGAAAGAGAACAAAAAAGACTGCCATTCTTGAAACTACGTCTGAAAGAGAAAGCTATGGCCCTAGAAACCTAGTGGGTGAGCAGGACGTGTTGGAAAGTTAATGAGGTGAAGCTGCTTTCATGTTCTCTATGTATACATGCAAATAAAGCTTGTATCACAGAAATGTGGACTGTGACCATGGGCATCTATGGGGCACGAGGGGTGTGTGGCAAGGGCTACCTTTTGGTGTTTTAATTTGCAGGGGAAGTTCCTGGAGATGCCCATGCCAATGACCTCCATTCCAAGGAAGAGTAACTCACGAAAATTACTCAATTCAGCTGACTGGGCATCCAGTTGCCTCGCATACGTAACTCCCCAATTATATATGTAATATGCTGCCATGTGTTAACTTTGTGTGCTCTTCTGAATTGGCAGTTCTGATAATTTGCTCAGGAAATAATGAGAGAGGTTCCCTGGGCACAGCACTCATGGATCAGGGTGAATCAGTCTTCTGTTGTAGATACAGGGAGAAGAGTGAAATACATTGGGTGAAGGGCATGTGAGGATGTTTTTAAAATTTGGCTGTGCTCCTAAGCACATTTTACTCGGAAGTAACATTAGTTGCTATTAAGTGTGTTTAAGAATACAGTGGTTTACGAACGGTTTACGAACTTAATCCGTTCCAGAAGTCCATTCTTAAACTAAAACCGTTCTTAAACCGAGGCAGCTTTCCCTAATAAGGCCTCCTGCCGCCGGTGCCCTTCCACCATTTGGATTCTGTTCTTAGACCGAGGTAAAGTTCTCAAACCAAGACACTATTTCCAGTTTTGCGGAGTTTGTAAACCAAATTGCTCTTAAACCAGACTGTTCTTAAACCAAGGTACCACTGTACACTGCCATTACAATACTATCTAAAACGCTATCATCAACAGGACAACATATGCTCCTCCTGATATCTTATTGACACAGAGGAAGACCTTCAGACCTCTGACAATAAAATAGAGGGCTTCTTGAAGGAACAGAAAATGAAGAACTGTTTCTGTATTTCCCGGGATAGCAGTAATTGCCGGTTCTAAGGCTTGTCTGGCTAGAAGCCAATGAGAACCAAAATCACTGCATCAACTCAACTGACAAGCAAGTTACAAGATTTCACTTTGGGAGTTAGAAAGTGTTTTGAAGAAATCAACAGTCCATGGTCACTTTTGGAAACAGACATTTCACCAACGGCTTCAGACTATTTTTTTCAAAAATAATTCAGTTTCGTTTCTTCAGGTTTTTACATGATGACAATTTCAGGAAATATATTTTAATTGCTGCAGTAGAATTAAGTTGCTTAAAGGGACCACAAGAAAAGCCTTCCTGCATCAGACCAAGCCATTCTGTTTCGTACCACAATGTCCTGAATGATGTTTAACTACATAGCTTGAGCATCCCCAATGTGGACTGCATATTTTTATAAGATAAAATATTGTGATCTAGCAGCCTCATACCTGCTGTTGCTTGGGAATTCTAAGAACCCACTCCCCACCCCCCAAAAAAATAAAAAAATCAGTGGAGTTTTGAAATCAGTAGGGAAAATCAGTGGTTTTGAAAGGTCTAGTTTGCCATATTGATTCAAAATGGTGTCTAACTGTATCCAAACAGAAGAAAGCCCACTCCTTGATCTCAGGATCAAAATTTGGTTAATGCACAGAGAGGAGGCAAACAACTTTCCAAAATATATAGTGAATTAAAATAACCACAGAATTAAAACACCTCATATGAAAGGTCTTGTGTTCTTTCAGAAGATGCAAGACCCTAGCAAGCCATTGAGTTGTGGCAACTGATAATGTATTTATTTTAAGAGCTAAAATTGCCTGAAGACACACACTGTTCTTAGAATATCATGATGGCACTTAATGGCAACAATAAATTCTGGGCTGTGTGCAAGGTAGGCTTTAAAGCATGTCAAAAAACAGCAGTTTCCATTCTTTCTCTCTCTCTCCCTCCCCCCCCCCCCCGATCTCTAGTAAATCAGTGCCAACTTGTTGGTCATCAGATCACCCTAGGGAAGGAGGTATCAATTCTATCAACAGTCTTCTAGATCAGCCCCATGAAGGTACATTACAAAGTAGATTCAGAAGAGTCATACGGTAGCAATTTAATGCCTTGGTGAATGCTAAGCCCAACTTTGTCACCCCTTTGCAGTTGCTAGAAAATTCGGGGGGGTGGACAGAAGGATTGATAAAGTTTGACAATATGTATGTCAGGAAGCTACAAATGACTGCTTCAGTGCACAACGAAAAGATCTTTTCAATTGGCTATTGTCACCTGATTTGAATTTACCTACAGCAGCCAGGACTTAAGCTTATGAAGATATGAAAAAGTGTTGCAGGATCCTAAACCAAGCAACTAAAACATATCTGTATTCATCATAATACCCAGTTACTCCCTAACACATCTCTACTTTTGCCTATACAAGGCTTGATCCTGGTGTAGCTTAACTTTGTTTTTTCCAATTGGACCCAAATGATGATGTCCACTATCACTGGCTGTATTAATCAAGCCCAGATGAATATCACAAAGTCCCTCTACATCTGAATGAGAATTCTCATGAACTCTCCAAACAATGCTGCAAGTTCTCTATTGCTAAATTGGAGCAATAGTATACTAAGCATTATGTTACTAACGGCACAGTGTGTTGGTTCATGCATTATTTCTCTAAAACACATTTTTTTTTAAAGTTTATGGCTGTTTGCCTTTCAGCAAAAATTGTTAGGTCACAACACTTATTCTACATAAGCACATTGCACTGGAAATATCTGGATGGCCTTTCCAGTTCAAAATGAAACAAATATGAACCTAAACTATTGGATTCTTCTGCTTTGGAGAATTACAAAGTCAACTTTCTACTTGGAAAAAATGCATAGATATATGCAATTCATCTCCAAACTACCTACACAGATGAGTGAGCTCCAGCCAACTCCATTTCATATCAAAGCCTATATTTTGACAGTGCTTCCATTTTTTATTTCAGAAGCTTCTTCCTTCGTTTAATTTAGTACCCACTATTCACTTCTGTTGACTCTTATTGCTTGTAGAAAGCCTTCTTGGCTCTTTTTTAATAGACCAAAATTGGGTTTCATCACCTGAAAATATTGTCTTATGTTGCTGACAGTTAGTAGAAAAGGATCAATAGATGGAAAACTGCAAAAGGAAGAGTGTTGGATTTTGCCACCACACCAGCCCAGGAGGGGGGTGGAGAGGGGGAAGGAAGGAGAGAGAAGCCTTTGGCCAGAGTGTGTTACAAACCATTCCAGAAAAGCTAATTACAACAGCAGGTGCCAGATTCAGTGCACAGTTGGCACTGTGTTCAGAAGACATAAAGCAGTGCTTCAGACCATGGTGAGGCTTTCAGAAGTATGATGTTATGTATCTAATCCATAATTTAAATCCCCCCAAATGCTTTCAGATCCACATGCCTTGAGCCTTTTTCAATTTAAGCCTCCCTTAGATTAAGCACTCAGTATCTCTTCTGTTTATTTACATGGTCGCTCACAGATCTGCTATAGATTCTATAAGGTTGTCTTACGGCTATTTTAAAACATAAATTGGTTGAGCTCACTAATTAAGGCGACTGTCACTATTATGAGGTTTGAGCAATTTAAGCTAGCATCAGTTTTTCTTAAGTGAATGGTTTAATTTTCTAATGGCAATCCAAAAGAACGGCTAAGTGGACTTATATTGAGAAGTATACATCTTCTCAGTAAAAGCTGAGCTGCTTTAACATGTTTACAGTAATCCTATTCTGTGTATTTCTTTTTGTCCTTTAGTTCTACCTCTCCTGTTTAAATAAAACTTTTTTAAAATGTGCAGTGGAATGATTTGGATTAAATCTCCATAAATATGAAGAAAAGGTGTAAACATTTACTTTGCTGGGATCTTTCTTAGTTGGGGGGGGGGATTTAATATTTTTTTATGGATGTGCGGTGTGTGTTTTCCCCCTCAAGAGAGACAGCAAACAGCTGTGAAGATTAAAATGGAGCAAATTCCAATCTTGTAGAGCTCCACTGCCTTCTGTGGAGCTCTGCCAGAAATGTGTTCAGCTCCACCTGTCTATGCTGTCTTCCTTCCTGAATATTTTTAGTGTGACTTATTTTGTATCACCACCCAGAAAAAAAGGCAAAAATAATTATGCAGCAATTCAAATGTGACATTGGGCACATAAAATAAATGAAACATGATCCATGCAGGGATACGCATAGACAGCATCACATCTGAAACAAATTGCTAGCATATAAATATGTAAGCATTAGCAAATCACGGATCTATGGTGTGGGGGTATGTCATGGTCATGTGTTAACACTGTACACTTGGGCAACCGGTTTTAAACATGATGATGTCATCCATGGTTTCTTGCATAGAGTACTGCAATGCAATTTATGTGGGGCTGTCATGGAAGATGGTTCAAAAACTTCAGATGGTGCAAAATTTGACAGCCAGGTTGCTCACTGGGGCAAGACGTGTTGCGTCTATAACACTGATCCTGGCCCAACACTAGCTGCCAATGAGTTTCCAAGCCTAATTCAAAGTGCCGGTGCTGACCTATAAAGCCTTACAAGGCTCAGGACCTCAATACCTTAAGGACCACCTGTCCCCATTCAAACTGAGCCGGACCCTGCGCTTGTCATCCAAGGCTCTTCTCTGCATTCCCGCTCCAAGAGGTTCAGAGGGTGACAACACTAGAACAGGCCTTTTCTGTGGTGGCACCGGAATGCTCTTCCCAGAAAGGCTCTCCTGGAGCCAATATTACATGTCTTTAGGCGCTAGGGGAAAGCATTCCTCTTTACCCAGGCTTTTAGCCATCAAACTACCTATGGTTTTTGAAGTTTGTGTGGAGTGGCTGTTAATGATAATTTTTTTCTGTGACTGTTTTATTGTCTTCTATCATTACACTATGTAAATTATGAATGAATGAAACTTTATTTGCATCAGCCATCGGCCATAGCAACAAAAAATATTGCGATATATGTAAATTATGCTTTTAATATGGTATTCTGCCCTGGGATCTTCAGATAAAGGGCAGTATATAAATTAAATTAATAATAGTGAAAATTGAATTAATAATATTTTTTTTTCATGTCTATTGTAACATTTCAACTGGACCTGATAGGCATACTTTTCTCTCATCAGTCACTATCTATTCTACATAATGCTGCTGTACAGGTAGGCAGAGACTAGGGAGATACACAAATATTTTTCTCATTAGATTGCTCCATTACAGTTCCATGAATGCGAAACTTCTAAGAACAGAACTGGAACTACATTCATGGAAAGTCTGCACACCCTATCCTACCACAGCAAATGGGAAGGGTGTGTGTAAGAATGCCACCTCTTAAAGAAGTGCCTGTAATTCATGTGTATGTAGGCATGTTCTGTAGTGTCAGCTTGGTGTAAACGTGTAGTAAATCTTGGTGGGATAGAAATGTATACAGGCTGCATGTCCATGTCATGGACTCCACAGTACCCCATTTGATGCTATGTATTGGAATAGTAATTTGGAAATTGCAGTCTTTTGTGAAAGCTGACTGGAATAAGATTTGGTTCCTAAATGCACTTTCTTGTTAGGACCACTTCACAAAAGACTATATCCTTTTTTTTAAAAAAAAAAATAAATGAGGTATTTAAACAGGACAGGAAAATTGGCTTCCAGACGGAGAAGTCAAAACTAGAAACAGAACTGTTAGAACCCAATACTAAGAATTTGTCAAGAATGTATAATCTGCTGTTGAAATGGAATACACAGGATGAAACGGTAAAATCAGCTATGATTAAATGGGCACAAGACATTGGTCATGACATTATGTTTGCTGACTGGGAACAGTTATGGACCACCGGTGTTAAGTTTACGGCATGTAATGCCTTAAGAGAAAACATTATGAAAATGATTTATAGGTGGTACATGACCCCAGTCAAGCTTGCAAAAATCTATCATTTGTCCAATAATAAATGCTGGAAATGTAATGAGACTGAAGGTACCTTTTATCACCTTTGGTGGACCTGCCCGAAGATTAAAGCCTTTTGGGAAATGATCTATAATGAAATTAAGAAGGTCCTTAAATGGACCTTTCCTAAAAAACCTGAGGCTTTTCTCTTGGGCATGGTTGGCCAATTGGTGTTAAGGAAGGATAGGACGTTCTTTATGTATGCTACCACAGCAGCAAGGATTCTTTTAGCAAAGTATTGGAAGACACAAGAACTACCCACGCTGGAAGAATGGCAGACAAAGGTGATCGACTACATGGGACTGGCGGAATCCGTGACCAAGGGAAAGAGATTGTGGAAGAAGACTGGAATAAATTTAAAACATACCTTAAAAACTGTTATAAAATTGATGAGTGCTAAAATGTCAAGGGATTGGGAAATAGAGAATTGCAGCTGTAATTGATAAGTTAGAGAAGAACCATAAAAGAAAATGAATTGAATAATTAGTTAATGGGGGGAGTTGCCAAAGAAATGTAAAAACAAGGATGCAGAAAAGGGGAGGCATGGGGAAGTCCGGGAAGTAAGGTATAGGAAAAGAGGGTTATGAAATTATACATGTTAAATGTTTGTTTGTTTATATATTGTATATCGTTTGTGTTTATTTTGTGTTTGGAAAATCAATAAAAATCATTATTAAAAAAAACACAAAAGACTATATCCTACACTGATGTCATTTAAACTGACAGTACATTTTACCAAGAACACATTCTCACGTAGCTTTTTCACCACATCCTAGGAAAAAAATTGATGCATGAAGTGGCCCTAAATTCTAGCTGAATCAATATGCCGTTAGAGAATATATAGTAATTAAGGCATTATAATCTAAAGGGGTAACTGAAAATTAATAACTGATTGTATCAGATGATATATATTCTTTTTTAAAAAATGTTGTAAAGTGCATGCAAACAGTACTGGAGAGCGCAGAATGCTACAATTTGCTTCCTGCTTCCCAGGAGCACTGTGTTCAGCAGAATGCTTGCTATTGTTAAGATGGCCAGCTGTAGCTGGAGGCTCTAGGAGTAAACAACTGTTTTTATTCTAAAATAAGAGCTCATTTTATTTTATAAGACATTATTCCTACTCTAGGTGGAGGCTAGAGAACACCTCTGAATCCCTATTGCAATAATATTTAAGCCACCTAAGCACAGCCTTCTAAGTCACCACTCTTGATATTTAGCTGGGAGACGGAAAAGTATGGTTGTTTATCTGCTACCGATTACAGCTGAACTGATATGGTGACAAACTGTCTAGATTTGGAGTAGATAGGGCAGAGGACCGTCTGATTGTTTCTCCATGCATATCCATAACGTAAGAATATGAGATTTTAAAATAAATAAAACTCTGGAGTTTTGGGGTTGTTGTTTTTTAATATGACCAAAAAAGTTGCTAGAAGAAATAAATAGCATATTTTCATACATTTGTGAATAGCAAAACAAGCATGTTGGGTGCATGTAGTAAAAGGCCAGTTCACAGATATCTGTATGTGGAAGCAAATCTTCAGCAGATATATCCCACCTCTTCCCATTCATTGCATCTTTTCATGTTAACTCCATCTGCATTTGCACACAGACACTGTTCTCAATGCTCTTGCTAAGAAATAAAGGAGTGGACAAATGGCACAAGTGGGACTATCGCCTCTTCATCCAATAATGAACATGGGAAGAGGTTCTGATTCAAACTGAAGATTTTATATGTGACATGAGAGGGTGCATGCACCTGAATCTTATTGCTGTATAATGTTACATGCTCAGCCTAGCTCAAAGCTGAAGCTCAGACTGTCTGAAAGGTCAATATGCCAACTAAAAAAATACTCTGGTTAATAATGTTTAAAACAAACAAAATAATGTCAAGCAAGGATTTCCAAAACATGCTCTCCTCTGCCAAAAATAATAATACGAGTATTTACAGAGCAACGATGTTCCTAGGGTTGCCTGTATATAGCATCATGAGCCCCCCCCCCGCAACTTTTTTTAACAATGCCAAGAGATGTTGTAATAATTTCTGGTCCTAATATTTTGCTTCTGTAATCTGTTGCAAAATGCAGAGTAAAATTATTTTTTGCTGAAATCATGTCTAACAAATTGGATAAGGTCACAATCTCCCTGGTCTAGATTTCCATTCTTGAAAGGTTTTCATTAAGTCTAGTAATTGTTGCTTCTGCAACTTCTTACGTAAATTCAAAACATTTTTCTCCAAAAGGTAGAATAAATGTTTTTATTTACATATCATTATTTTTATACCAGGATTTTAAACCAACTTCAAACCAACATGTTCCACAACATTTTTTATGGCTGCAAATTTAAAGCTCAAACGTTAACTATATTTTTTAAACCCTTACAAACACACACACACTTAAATATACAACTAATTTTAAAAAGAAAATAATTAAGATGAAAATCATTTCACCTTTGTGTTTGATTTCAAGCCAGATAACCTACCCTTTTAAAGGGTACATTTTTTTATAATTTTACAAAAATGTCTATTTAATAATACAACACCTTTGAATGCCTTCAGTAGTCATTATTTAAGGACAATCATCATATGCTCCAACTGCCATTTGAAGCCAGTAGTCCAAGCTCCTAAAAATTACGAAGTTGTATAAATTCTCCCCGCCTTTTAGGAAACCATGTTCACTTTCTTTCCAGGAAACAGGGCTGTCAGCAAAGCCATGAACAATGAGAGATATCCAGTGAGCCAACTTTGGTTCTTCAAAATAGGAACTGTTGTGGGGAGGAAAAGAGAAGCAAAACTATAAATTATATTAAGCTTTGCAATAGAAGTTAGATCATAGCTGTTCAAGCAAACAGCTTGGTCCTATGGATATATACAGAGAAATAAGTCTTATTGATAAAGAGTATGTACATAAGATTGTTCAAATAAACACACAAGGAGGGATTCACTTAACCAGCACCATCAGTAGAAACCTTGCACAAGGACTTCTGCTTATGTAACAGGGCTTCCCCCTGCAACCCCCTCCCTGAAATTGGCTGTGAATCAAATGATTGGAAAAACACTGAAACAAATATAATACTCTGTTCAGTTTTGCATGAACACACATGCAGTGCAACCCAATGCATGTATATTCAGAAATCAGTTCAGTGGTATTTATGCTGTTGTAAGTGTGTTTAGGGCTCAATTTGATCAACTCCAGGTGTAGTTATAGCATGCTAAATAGGACAGATTGTATAGCTAACTGCTTACCATATTTGTTCAAACAAATGAATTATCTTCTCTGGAAGTATAAAGCCGGTTATTGTACACAACAAAGCTTGTTCTACTGTTGTGCTCGGTTGAGGACATGAATATGTTGATAAGAAACTAGAAGATGTATTTTCTCTGCAAAAAAGAAGACATGCAAGACTCTCTTAATATTTTAACATTCCAACTGCTAAATAATTGCTCTGCTTGTGCACCATACAGCTAAATCACCAAGAGCTGAATAATTTCCCCTTTCACTGGACAAAATCCATTTAGTAAATTCTCCTGTACAATTCCCATTGTGTCAGTAGATTGTGCCCTTTGAGATCTGTGGACAACAGTGATGTTCAGCAGAAAAATTCACCTTACTTTTTAATAACCCAGATATGATAATAACTATCCAAATGACATTATGTACTACAGTGTCTAAACAACTTTAATTTATAAAAATATTTATATACCACCAAATCACTTAAAATATCAAGGCAGTGTACAACAATTTATACAAGCATAATAAAACACAAAAGACAATAAAAACAATAGAAAATTATCATTAAAATGGCTGGGAGGTTTAAGCAGGGGCTTGGCTCTGTCGGCAGAAAAAGGACTTCAACAGATCCCTGAAAGTGGATGTCTTGTGTTGTAGATACTCCTCTTTTTGCTTGGCTGCTCCTTTCATTTTGAAAATATGATGGGTTTTGCCATTTTATAGTGATGTTTTTCCTACTATTTTTAATACTCGTGTGTGTGTGTGTGTGTGTGTGTGTGTGTATAATTTGATGTTAAGCCAATTGGGTTTCTTTTGAAGAAAAATAGTTTGATATATATACTTACAACAAGCAACAGATACTTACAAGTCAGTGTGAGTGAAAATGGCACCTAGCCATTCAAATAATTCCTGAGCACTGCATGCTGTTTCTGGCTCTCCTTCCAATTTATTGCTCTCCAGAACTGGACACTGCACATTTCTTAATGTGCTGAATGTTATTTTTGGCTGAAGGGCCTGTATTTGGTTTTTGGAAAAGTATGACATCAAACTTGATTCTTCTGATCCTTGAATACAAACAACACACCCCAAAAGTTAAAAAAGAAAAAAGAAACAGACTTTAAAAGGAACATTCCCCCCCCACACACTATTCAAACACTTTTATGATTGTATGCAATTTGGAAAGATAGATTTAGTGAAATACAGTGTCAAAATTAAATCTACTGTTTATCTATGCCATGCCAGAGCCTAAGATTTCCAACCTCCTCCTCTGAATCCCACAAGTTGTCACATTCCTTTTAGGATAAAATGTACACTTTCAGATCCATTTAGCACTTAGGAGAGCAAACAGACTGTGCCACTTTGCTGGAATTTGCGTGATCAACATTATTAGAGGTTTAAACTGAAAAATGAAATTATTGGGAAAATGCAAGAATACAGGAAGTGCACAAGGTCATAATTCTAATACACTCCTTATCCCATCCACACAATCTTTAAGGATTATTTGTATAATAATGCTTATTATTATTATCTTGTACATTTTATATATATATATATATATATATACACACACACACACATATATACATATATATATATACATACACACACACACAAACACTCCCTCATTTACTGATTTCTCAAAACCCAAAAAATCAATTGTTTTTGGTGTCTAATATGTACTATCATCTCCCAAAAATTTAGCTCTACTTTCGATGCCTAAGCATTCCAGCCCATTACATAAAAGAAACCCCATTTCTTAGAAAAGACGTGCACTTCCCAAACTAAGGTCTGCAGTCTTGCCAAACAAGGGGCTCTCATGACAGACAGATTACCCTTCCTATATTACATTTACATGCACCTTAAATGTGTATAGACACCTATAGGTCACATGTAAAAACACCTGAATCAGCCTTCAGAATAGAATGGTATTTATAATGTATGTCTTCCGCCATTCCCTTTTATGGTTAACGTGCTGTTACCTGTTTGGTGCCAAGCCATCAAGAAATCAAACTCTAGTGGCATTTTTTCCTTCAAGGCCCAGATCACTCTGTTGTATTTCTTACTATCAGGACTGAAGGTTGAATCAGTCAAGTCAACAGTAATAACTATTAAAAGAAGAAAGCATAAATTTTGATGTGAACATAGTATCAGTAGATCTTATGCTACCTGGATAACTAAGTAGGTACTCTTTCTAAAAAGAAGCTAAACATTGCAATAAAAAACATTAATGACTATACACCAGGTATTCATTATTTACAGTATTTATAGACCACCTTTCAACAGAAAACAAAAAAGATTCCATAAGAAAACATTCAGAATCTTCACTAATCCCCAAATGCCTGATGGAATGAAGGTATTTTCACCTGACTACAAAATGAGACCAGGAGACATGCAAACTTCCTCAGGAAGAGCATTCCACAGGAGCCACACAAAAAAAGTCCTGCTCCTAGGAGAGAATAACATTACCTCCCTAGAGGAAGGGTTCTACAACAAGGCATCACTAGCACATTTTGAGACTCTGAGGAGTTTGAATAGGAGCATGTGCCCTGTGATATTTATCGATCTCAGATTGTACATGCCATTAAAGCACTGTGAAACAAGCTGGTAATGAATATTGACCTCAACTCATCTCTAGTTCCACACCTTTATTGACCCAAGATGGGCATAAGTATCCTAGTCTGTATCAAAAGGCAGACTGAGCCATAGAATCATAGAACTGTAGAGTTGGAAGGGACCCCGAGGGTCATCTAGTCCAACACTCTGCAATGCAGCACATGCAATACGAGATCTTCCATCCAACTTGAAACCCTACCGGATCCTGCTTAGCTTTGCAAATGAGCTAGCAATTTTATTGCTGCATCACTAGGAGGGCTGTCCAATGAGTTGAGTATTATGATATAAATAGGGATGCACATTGAAGTAGGCACATGCATCTGCACAAGCTACATGTGTTGAGAACTACTTATTTAAGTATTTCCCTTGCTTGATCAGGAAAATTGATCTGTAGGGGGCAAATCTGTTTATTCAAGCAGAATCCAATTCAAATTCCAAACCTCAAAAGCTGAGGGTATGATGTCCTATATTCATAAGAAAACCAAGAACTGGAAAGAAGTGAGGTGTTATCTAATAGGTACTTACTGTATCTCATTGGCTTTTTACCAGAATACAGAGAAGGACGGCCTTGCAGTCCAAGCTCTTCATAAGTATCCTTGTCTACTGATATAATTAATTTGCCTATAAACAAAAATAATTGCAAGTAACTCTATTTTCCAACTTCTTAATACATACTACAAAGTAAAAACACAAACACAAAATGAACTAATAACGCTGAATTAAAATTGTGAACAGTTATTACCAGAAGATAACAGGGACCAACTACATTGATCCTCATTTTCTACTCTATTTTGGAAAGCAGCTTGTTACGTATACACATTCTGGGGAGTGGTTCATACACTTACCTGGCTAAGGATTGCCTATGCATACTGGCATACAATATGATGTGAAGGCTGTACACATAGGTCTATATGCTTTGAAGCCTGAGTCTTACAACCTTTAATCCTCAAAAAGAGAATAAAAGGCAATGTTAATCAAAACTAGGCCCGGGATACCTTAGTTGCACATTTTCTTATATGTACAAACATGCACACTAGATTTTCTACCTAAAAACATGATCTTTGGGCCAGGTGAGTATATGAATTACATCCCCCCCCCCTCTCTTCTGTGGGCACACACACACACACACACAGCTTCTATAGACCACTAGCTAGTCTAACTGAACTGAATGATACTTTAAAATTTGAAAAATGCTAAATCTATTTGTTTTCAGCATGATATCATACCTGTTGGTAGCAGAGCAGCTGTATTGTCTTGGTCAATCCTTGTTTTATACGTAAGAGCATAACATGAACCTAAAACACAGAAAGACTTCAGTGTTTATTGTTTCTTTTTTAGTTGTTATAATAAAAACCAAACGAACAAAAACTAATATCATGTTCTTCAAAGAAACTGCAGTAGTTAAACTAATCTGGGAATGCCACTTCTACTTGTTGTGATGTTACTTCTAGTAAAAATGTAAAGGTAAAGGGACAGGGTGGCGCTGTGGTCTAAACCACTGAGCCTCTTGGGCTTGCTGAATGGAAGGTCAGCAGTTTGAATCTGTGTGATGGGGTGAGCTCCTGTTGCTCTATCCCAGCTTCTGCAAACCTAGCAATTCGAAAGCACACCAGTGCAAGTAGATAAATATATCCTGCTGTGGCGGGAAGGTAAAGGGTGTTTCCGTGCACTCTGGCACTCGTCACTGTGTCCCACTGTACCAGAAACAGTTTAATCATGTTGGCCACATGACCTGGAAAGCTGTCTGTGGACAAATGCCAGGTCCCTTGGCCTGAAAGTGAGATGAGTGCCACACCCCATATTCACCTTTGATTAGACTTAACTGTCCAGGAGTCCTTTACCTTTTACCTTTACTTCTATTAACATCACAAGAAAATACTGCATTCAAGGATTACAACACCGAGCATTCAACATCTACTGCAGCAAAAAAACAAACAAACAAACAAAAAACTCCTGCAGCCAGAAGACAAGGCACCAGTGCACTCAAAACCCTCAGAACTATTATATTGAACACAATATTAGAGTCAAAGTAAGCAGAGGCTGTTACAACTGAATGAAATGCCAAAAAGCAAAAACAAACAATAAGGCCCATTTTTTTTAAGGTGCTTCTCTTCAAAAATCCTTCAGGAGCCAAATATTTTCCTTAAATTAATTACAATCCACCTTTATGAAACAGAGTTTCAGTCATGCTTTCTTATCTATTTCAATGGTTTCTTACCTTTCTTCACAAATGTGTTAATAAATTCCTGTGTAACTAACTCATAAAGCGACAAATTCTTCACCAAGTAGTACTGCCCAATATCTGCAACTGTATTTTTTAGTGCTTCTGGAACTACTCCACAGTCAGGGATAAAAAAAGACACCTATTCAGAGAACATTTGGGATATAAATTAGTTATTATGATCATTGATAAACAGACTGCAAAATACGTTTTACACAGCTCCACAGATAAACATTAATACAACACTGGTTGTTTTATATTAAATAATATCTCAAACAAAGCAGTGTTTTTAACCTATTATGAACAATTAGTACCAAATACTTGTGCATTTGTAACCAATCCTTCTACCAAGAAAGTCAAGATGACAAGGATTTATCCTGCTTTATTCTCCCAGCATTCCTGTGTTAGGTACGCTCTCTGTAGGCTTGTTCAGGCTGAACACAGTTACAAACTATCTCTACACATTTACAAATGTTTGGCACAAAGTTTCTGGGACTGATGGAAGTTTGGAGTTCTCCAACATCTGTAGGGCCACAAGTATCCCCTTCTCCCCATGGAAAGCATGCAAGAGGAAAACTATAGCTCTATAAGCAATATGGACTGGATACAAAAGGCCACATCTGATATGTCCACATTACATGCCTAAATAATTTTTGTTGTTGTTGACATCCATCTGTCTCAAGAGACAATGGAGCGTGCCTCTGGGGGCGAAGCTAAACTGCTGGAGAATCACAGCGCCTGCTGTGGCTGCAGAGCCTGGTAACTTATAACTGCTGCCTCCTCTGTTGTTTTCACTGTGTTAGCAGCACTGAAGTGACCACTCTGGGGTGCAAGATTGGGCAGTGGGTATGGAAGTCCTAGGCTGCCCAAACTACACGATGTTTGCTTGCTGATGTTGTCCGAAGAGAAGGAAAGCAATACATTTAGCACCAGCTTGGCTGCAGGAGTTGTCAGAAGGAGGCATACAAGATGCCATCCATCTATCTAAGGGACTCCAGTCCTGAAGATATCCTGCAAGGCAGTGAGTACTAAATACATTATACTGTTGGTATTAAGCTTTAATCTAATCCATACTTTCCCTTTTCCCTCCATTGTCTCATAAGCCCTTTAGTGTTATGTCTGTTAAGACAGTTAAACCATTCTGTCACGGAATATTTTATTCTTTGCACAACCCTCGGTAGAATTTTAAACTTGAAACCAACAAAAAATTAAATAATACAGTAGCTTCATAGTGATGTGCCAAGATACTTTTAGGTTTTAAAACTAAGGGCCAAGTTAGATATGATGTGATAGGCCGATGTGTTTAAACGTGGGTCAACCCCACTCATGTCTGATTTTTAGAACAAAAGGCTCATGTAAGGGTGGTGAGTGAAGCTATCTTTAAACTCATAGCCATGCAGCTGTGTGCCACATCTAGTTTGGCCCATATTCTGTTTTAAGTATGTGCTTATTGAAGCCATGGTTTTGGATTGTGTTACTGAATAGAATTGACACTGGTGGCTTTTAATCTGTTTTATGTTTTGTTCTTTTTAATTTCATTGGATGGTTGTGTTGGCGCTGTTCTTTAGTACAGTGTTTCCCAAGCTTTTTTGGGCAAAGGCACACTTGTTTCATGAAAAAAATCTCGAGGCACACCACCATTAGAAAATGTTTAAAAAATTAACTCTGTGCCTATATTGACTATATATAAAGTAACTCTCTTTAATAGGAATCAAATAAACACAAAGATAGTATTTTATAATTACTTTATTATGAAATAGTAAACAGAAATATGAAAAATTATAAAATACTTTATTCAGTGCGCAACCTGGGCCTGTTTACCATGCGCACAACATCATCCAACACATGAACTAGGTCTGCTGGTAAAGTATTGGCTACGAGGGCCTCACGGTGCAAAAAACAATGCGTAACAATCACATCTGGATTTCTTTCCTTCACTCTGCTTACAAAGCCTTTGAAACCTCCCTAGATATCATCGTCATTTGCATGCTGTTTCCATAGTTAAAAACCATGCTCGAGGCGGCTTACGACATGGCAATATTTACATAATTACCCAAATGCACTCATAAGAAACCGTATCAAAGCGCCCACAACGAAATTAAGCAATCCCCACACAAGTTATAACGAGATCTATAAAGAGTAGTTTAGTATCACGAACAGCAAGATGGACATAAACAAAATAAAATCTTGACTCTAACAACCCCACCCGGCCTAAATCTCCTGCGCGCACCGATGCCCACGCAAGCATTTCCAGCAGCTCTTCCTCCTCCGCCTCTTTTTGCGTTGCCAGCAAAGAAGGAATGAGGAAGAAAAGGCGCAGCAGCGAAGAAGCGCGCCTTCTCAGAATGCCGCTGCTGCCCGAGGACTACATTTCCCAGAATGCCGCGGCCGCCCAGCCGAGATGCGCCCTGATTGGACGGCGTTGCTAAGCCGCTCGCGCCGGGGCTGAGCGTTCGGCAGAGGCGCGCGCCATAAGACGGGCGTCGCGCGCGGAGCCTGGCTCGGGTCGCCAATGCTGCGGGTGGACATGGCGAGCTGGGCGGGACTCGGGCGCGCGCTGGGCGCCTGCTGCCTCCTGGGCCTCTTCTGCAGTGCTGCGCTGCCCTTCTCGCTGCAGGGCGCGAACGAGAAAGCGCCCGCCTCCCTCCCACGGCACACCAGGCAACGTCTCGCGGCACACTAGTGTGCCGCGGAACACCGGTTGGGAAACACTGCTTTAGTATAACATGCTGGTTGATTTTTAATTTTATATGTAAGTTGGTTAGAGACTGAATAAATAATAGTCTTGAATGGGCTGAGTTTTTAAAATGCTGTTCTAAGTGCCTCATGAGATAGAAACGTCAAATAAACACCACATTGTTAAAGATACTGTCTGAAACTATTAGTGTATTGCAGCAAAAGCAATACAGTCTTGCAAGTACCTTAAATAACTAACATATGTATTGTGGCATAAGCATTTGTGGAGAATGGTACATTTCACCTAAGACATAAAACACTATATTCAGTTGGCAGAGGTGTGTGTCCACGGGCACATATTTTGCAGCCAACTGGCACAATTTGATATTAAAAAAACAAAAACCTCAGGCCAAATGGCAGTGATGTGGTGGAGCAAGAATGATGTATTGTTACTTACACGGCAGCAAAAACAATGTCATATCTAGAGAAGTTGTTCGTCAATCCTGTCTGCATACCAGTGCTATGGCACTGGGTAATATGTTTTATTTTGAAAAGAATTGTTGTGTCCAGAGGGGGTTTTTTGAGCAGGAACTTGGGGAAACTGAATTCCCTTACCTTTTAAATATTAAATAATTATTATTTTTGTTGGGGGGGAGGGGCTGGAACAGATATACACCCAATGCCAGAGTTAAATATAGATAGCCTACACCTGCAATCAATAAAGCTGTGGCTATTAATCATCTGCCTGTGTTTATTAATCACACCTTACGTTTAGCCACTTCTGTGGCAGTGGGAGCCCACAAACAAACAAACTTTGTGGTGAATTCCCTCACCTTTTTCTCCAGAAGAAAGAAAAGGGAAAAAATTAGGTAGGACCAATCAGAAAGCCACAAAATAGTAATTTTAAGAACTATGATTTGGAAAACCGTTAAAAGGACATGCAATGAAATTCAACCAAGGGGAAGCAAGGAAGTCACTTAATAATGTTAATAAGTGTAATTTTTAATAAGGTTATGCTTTATGTTTGTTTGTTTTATGTGTTTGTTTATAATGTTGTGAAAATCAATAAAAAACATTTTGAAAAAAGAAAGAAAGCCACAGAATAGTAAGCAAGGAACACTCTCCCCCCTTTATCAGGATGGATAAATCAATAGAGGGGGGAACTGCTTTGGTATTGAAGCCTTAACAGCTACATGGCCAAAAATTAAAACAAAACCCTGCCCTATATAGCCTTAGAAGGAGCAGGACACTAGGAGTTGCCACGCATTTCAATAATCCGCCCCTTTTATCACTACCACATGGCCATGAAACTCAGCAAGCACCGCCTAGGGGTTTCAATTTTACATAAAGGCTTTTAAGAAACGGCCATTCGCCACACCAGTAATCGCAGATACACCCGTGGAAGTCAGTGAGGCGGTGCAATCCTGAACCACCTCATCCTTCGGAAGCCACCAGCGAAGTTCGAACAGACTTGAGGCGCTCAGCTTTCTCCTCAGGGGGAACCGCTACCCGCACTCTCACCCCCCCCCACTCACCTGGCAGTTGAAGGCGTGATCCCGCACGCGGGTCGCGTGGCGGGACCGCTCGTGCCGCACGTGGCTCCCCTCGCACACCAGCACGTGACGGGGCCCCTCGCGGAGCCACCTCAGCGGGGCGAACATGCCGCGCCGCGTTCCCTTTCCGAGCGGCCGCGCGCGCGCCGTGGAAGCTGGAACCGGCCAATAAAAGGAAGGCGGGGCATAAGACGTCACTCGTTCGTAAGGGAGGCGGTCTGTGGGTTGGGAACAAGGGGCGGAGGGGAGGAGGTACGCGCATGCGCGCTCGCCGTTAGGGAAGCGCTAGCGCCGTCGCTTTACAAAGGTTGCCCGCGCTTGCTTTGGGTTTGAGGGACGGTTGAGAGAGGGGAGCGGCTGGGTGCTGAGGAAATAATTAAAAGCCCTGCAGAGTGAATCATGGGACTCGTGAAAACACAAATTAATCAATTAATCAAGAATAGAATAGAATAGAATAGAATAGAGTTTAGTGTGACTGTAGTTGACTCAGGGGAAGTCGCAGAGCGAAAAGAACACAACTGAAAATGAAACTTTTTCCCTCTAATGACCTCATAGTGATGATATAACTTTTCAAGGCATTTATTTGCACTTCGTCCTATGCACAATAAGGCTCAGTGTGTCTTGAGCTGAACAGAGTTACATTTGAATAAAAGGCTGAAAATTACAAGAGTGCGCTCATTAGTTTGTGGTGAAAAGGCCATTGAAAAGCGCTTAGAATCTGGAAAGCTGACCATAAGGGAATTTTTCAGAGCTAATAAGAGTGCCCACATCTCTGAAACTTTTAGCTGGCTTGCATTGAAAGTTCATTATATGGCCAGTTTGTTGGAAGGGGTTACTGGTTTTGTTTTATTCTCTTATCTGCATGTATTTTGTGTTCTCATGTTGTATTTTTATGTTCTGAACCACCCTGTGATCTTCAGGTGAAGGGTGGCATATAAATTTAATTAATGATGATGATGAAACATAATAACAAAATGGTACACCATGCTAATATTCTGTTGGGTTTCCCAATATACAGGTCAGTATTGCAACTACAAAAAGGCAGGTTTTCAGCTGGTCCCTTAGCTGGTTGATGCATTGATGGTAGCAGCCTTTCCTTTCTGGAGGTGGTTGCCAAGCAACAGCTCCTTCCCAGGTCCACGGAGGAAAGGGAGCAGGGCTGAGCGGGTGGAACTTATCCAGCCCATGTTAGAACTTCAGCACGCAGCAGCTTTATAATATCCCTGCACGTGTCGATCTGGTGCCTATGGTTGCATTTCAAATTATTTCCATCCACCTACCTCATGGGTGCTGCTATGTGCATCATGCCTAGGTGTATGTATATCTTGGGCCTCTTATAACACAGATGGAAACACGGCTATTTCTGTTCAAATGTGACTTGGGGACCTTTCTTACTATACGTCTTCAGCACTCCCTTCCCCTGTAAATCGTTGTCCAGCCTATTGAGACTTAGGTCGCCTGCACAAGAAATGCACTACTCTGTTCTGTACAGCACCTAGCATATTGTTTTACATGCACGTTAGACCCAAAGTAGTCTTGGCTAGCCGACCTAACCGGAAGAGTCCGCGACCAGAAGGAGGAGGAGTATCAGGAAGAGTGGATTAAATTTAATGATTACTTAGTTAAATATGTTAAATTAACTGAAAACAGCTTGCAGATACTTACCGTAATTGGCTTAGGATTTTATTTATGTTAAGTGATGAATTAATATGTTTAATTTCATAATGTGAAGATCTAAGGATGTTAATGTTTAAGTTAAATTTTATAAGAACTGTGATTTGGAAAACCGCTAAAAGGATATGCAATGAAATTCAACCAAAGGGAAGCGAGGAAGTCACTTAACAATGTTAATAATTTTCAATAAGGCTATGATTTATGTTTGTTTGTCTTATGTGTTTGTTTGTTTGTTTGTTTATAATGTTGTGAAAACCAATAAAAAAATTTGGGGTGGGGGGAAAGTAGTCTTGGCAATATGCAATTGCTGGATTCTGTTCAGACATGAGTTTGCTAAGGGGAGGGAATGATACTGAGGAAAGACAGCCAACGGGCATAGGGCAACTGTCGAAACTGGATACAAGTTAAAACCCTCTTCGTTAACCTCTTTGGATCACATAAGCCTAACATGGGGCTGTTGGAGTAAAATAAGATTCTGCCACTCTGATCATTTTAGAAGACGCTGAAGGACAAGAACGTGACAAATCGATGATTTGCCAGCCTTCCAGTAATTTACTCAGCTTTTTCTTCTGAAGTTACATCTCCAATCAATGTCTCTTTTATACGCGACTAAGACATGTTCTCTCAGGAGAGAAAAGCAAAGTGTTCCAAGTAATTGCATCTTAACAGCAGAAGAACATTATACTTAATGTTTGTGGATACTGGTTGAGGCAGGAGTTACCAAGTAACTGTTGCACATATTTTCATATGTGACAACAAAAGGGAATAATATTTTTCATGGAACATCTCAACAAAGGTTATAGGAAATAGAAGGTAAAAATAAATAAGCTGTAACTATTGGCATTTATATAACACTTTGTGGGAGCAATTCTGTGCACAAGAATCTGGTGTAAAGCAAGCTGGTGTAAATTAAGCTAGCATAAAGTTACACCAGATCCAAATGCTATTCAGCAGTAGAGCTGCTGTTCTGCCTAAGCCTGGCAAAGGGAAAACAAGCCTTTAAAAATGTTGTGTGTTGGGTTGCTAGGTCACATGACCAAGCTGAGTGGGGAATCAGTCAGCTGGGCCAGAGATCTACTGCAGCCTAAGCTCCTCCTCCTGGTGGATCTTGCTTTAGGATTGTCCTCTATGTCTATGCGTATGAAATGTGTTAGGATTTTTGTCTCATTTAGTCCCACAACAACCATGTGAAGTACCGGTAGTTTATGTTGGCTGTGAGATAGTTTGATAATTAGCCAAAAGGCACTCACTGAACTTTATAACAAAAGCTGCAACAGGAAATCCTGATTTGGATTGTATCCATGGTATAGCAGTATATTAGTAATAATAATGCCATGGTGTATGTATGTGTAAGCCTTTCCCCTGTGCTGTGGCCCCTGTCCAAATCAATATTGTCTGTTTCCTCCTCTGTGACTAACATCAGTTACAGTGGCCAATGTAGACTGGAGCCTCATCATAAGGGAAGGCTATTGCCTAAAATGATGATTTTCAAAGGATTCTATTTACTTACTAACATTGTTATATATGCCAAGTACTTCCTCTGTGTATTTTTCAGCCACGGGCACATTCTTACGGCTTTCTTACTGCTTGAATACTAAGAAGTATATCAGATTGCAGCACAGAGCAGAAAACTGAATTAAAGGGTAATGTAATTTTAATTTTCATGCATTCTGACTAATCTGTTGCAATTAAGGGCATAATTAAAATCTAATTATATAAAATTTATTCCTATACTTTAAATGCTTTATTTTTCACTGTACCATTTTGGAGTGCCATATTAGTATTCCAAGCATTTGTGCTTCTAATTCTTTTCATACAATTACTTTGGTAAAATGAAACCTATGTGTTACATTCAAACAGTTGTTCAAATAAAAGCCTGAAGTACATGGTGTAGTCTAGCAGCCATATTTTCCAGAAGTAATGAAGGTACATATATCTAAGTAATGACTCTTAATTTCAGGGTTGTGGGTTCAAGCCCCATGTAGGGCAAAAGATTCCTACATTGCAGAGGGTTGGACTTGATTATCCTTTTCTTCCCTCCCAACTCTTCAATTCTATGATTCTATATTAGGAATTTCTATGATCTCTTTTAGTTTTAGCAATGCTAGAGCCTTAGAAACTCCAAGACCATTTACTAGTGTCATAAAAAGGTAAAGGTAAAGGGACCCCTGACCATTAGGTCCAGTCTGACCGACTCTGGGGTTGTGGCGCCCATCTCACTTTATTGGCCAAGGGAGCCGGCATATAGCTTCCGGGTCATGTGGCCAGCATGACTACGCCGCTTCTGGCGAACCAGAGCAGCGTACAGAAATGCCATTTACCTTCCTGCTGGAGCGGTACCTATTTATCTACTTGCACTTTGACGTGCTTTCGAACTGCTAGGTTGGCAGGAGCAGGGACCAAGCGACGGGAGCTCACCCCATTGTGGGGATTCGAACCGCTGACCTACTGATCGGCAAGTCCTAGGCTCTGTGATTTAACCCACAGTGCCACCCGCGTTTGCTGTAATTTAGCAATGTCAATGCAGGCAGTGGGATCCGCCCTATATCTTCTGCTGTGAAGACAGATGCAAATCATTCATTTAGATTCTCTGCAATCTCTTTATCATCTTTTAGCACAGCTTTCACTCTCTTGCCATCCCATGGAATGCAAAGTACCAGCCTCCAGCTGCTCCAGCCTCTTCATTTCCTTGGCATTTTTTAAAGGAACTGTAAGGGTGGGGGAAATTGAAAGGGCACACACTAGGCAGGTGCCAAACTGGTTTCAGGGGCATATCTAACATGTAGGCTTTGTCTAATGTATGCTCATGGCTTCATCTCTCTCAACTGCTACATATAGCAGTTATTTTCTATTGCTATTTTATTCCCCTCTGACCACCTATAATTAATTTCTTTTCATTTGCTTTGTGTTAGCCCTCTCTTCTCAAAGCCGTATTCTCATTTATTGATTTTGCGGGCCTATTATCTTTATAAAGAAAGACTACACAATGTAAAAGTGACAACATTAAGATTAGGGTGGGTTTTTTTTAATACCTACCTATGTATCTTGAACATGCAGTGGGTTATCAAGATAGAAGTGTAATTGTACATTTTTTTTCTTTGCCAACCATCCTTCCAAATTAGCTGACTTAAAAGTAAACTATATGCTGTAATTTGCTGGGAAGGAAATGAAATGGGTAGTCTGACTTTTATTCCATTTAGTTTTGATTAAGCATGGCAATGTAGTCCCAGGTGATTGAAAAATAATTATCCAATTTCTGGCTGCACGCTCAGAGCAATACTCAGGTTTTCAGTGTTCATACTGGCAATTTAGTTGCCAAAGGATTTTGTCGTTTATGATTTAATTAAAGATCTCTAAGCTGTACTCTGTTCTCATTTATATTGGTACAAAACATCTGGGCAGTGGAAGTTCTCAGTGCATAAAGCGGCATCAGTAAAAGTGAACTAAAGCAAAAATTCAGAGAACTTAAAGCAGTATGTTTTGAATTATGGGGGCTGCATGATCTTGCGCTGCAGCAAAGATGGCCTCCACTGTGCCGCTGCTTGTACCCGTGCAAGCTAGCTAGTACTTTGACAGCTCACCAGCCTAAGTCTGGGCTATAAAACAATTTGCATTCATGTTGCTACCCTTAACAGCAACAGTTAACAGACAGGTAAAGGCACTGAGCAGTTCTCAGGATGCTGATGACTTTTTTGAAGTATGGCATCCCTTTCTAACTTTCTCAAATGAAAACAATATGGTCTGGCATCCACCACATACACATGGCTGGCTATTGAACAATGCACTCCATTGTTGAAACCATCTTGTCCTACTTGAGTGTGTGCAATTTGTTACTGTGTTGGAGGGATTTAATTTTGTAGCATGTATTTACTGAAACATCTTTAAAACTAACACCCCCCTACAGATTGGTGGATTGGGCTGGTCTCAAGTAACATACTCCGGAGTTCACTTCTGAACCAATTTCCATTTTGGAGGATGAGTAGTAGCCTATCACAGGATGTATCTGTGTGTAGTAAATGCTTTTTAAAGATTCTAGTTGCATGTGTTTTTTTTAAAGGAAAGGACTTCTTCACCTTTATTAGTTGTTCAAAGGAGGGAATTTCCCGCAGGTGTAGCATGTCCTCTATTTTGTCTGGCTTCTTGACACAAAATTCACATAAAGCCAAAGCACTGTGAGGCACACTTCCCTGGAGTAAGCCAGCTGCAAACTTAATAGAGTGAATGTGCATGCAATAATGCCTAGATAGACCTCAGATGGCTGTGATTTTGATTTAAGTTCTTTTTTTCCTGCTCCAATATTGTTTGCAAATAATATGGAAATGCTAAACCTGTGCTATATTTCAGTTTAGTTTCACTATATCCCATTATTAGTTTCAAACACCAATGTGTGCTTATGATTACAGCCCTGATTCTAGATAACAGCATGAGGCTTAGTTTGGCATGTGGTTTAATTTGCGCCAGGGTTTAGCTCAGTGCTGTTTTTCAGAGACAAACTTTGGCCCGCCTATGTGAAGTAAAAATACAGTGAGTCTGAGGATAACACACACTTCCACAATCTACAAATCCTGTGACTCTGAAAGATGCCCATCATTTAATCGCAATCGCATGCAGATCAACAAGCAGCCAAGTTAAGCTTCTCTGCTTGACCAGCTGCACCAAAGGAAGGCAGGGGGGAGAAAACTTTATGGGCCTGAGATAATGACTTTTAGATACATTTGAGCTCAGCGCGTCTTCAACTCTGTACAGTACTTCAGTTAGGATTGTAGTGGGACCGTTTCTAAGGCACTGACTGAAATAGTTGCAGCTTTCCCCTGGGCATTATCCATCGAAGTTGCCAAAAGCAGGAGAGTAAGGAAAAAGGGGGAACTGCCTCAGGAACAGCTTCCTGTGGCGAAGAGAGGGCTGCCTCTGACATTTCATTTCCTCCCTGCGCCAGGGAGCAGCCCAAACTGAGTCTTACTACTGCTCGGCAACGCCACTTTCGAGGAGGGGGGACTCCTGGTGGGCGTGGCGAGGCCAAGCCTCCTGCAGGCGAAAAGCTGCATCTAGGGCTCGTTCAAGGCCGGATTCGAAGGGGTGCTTCCCCTTTTTACTTCTCACCCCCCCCCCACGACATACACACCCGGAGGAAAGGGTTAGGCACGCGTCCCCGCCCGGGACTGCGAGAGAAACAGCTACGTGCTTTGTAGCCTGTGGCGAATGTCTTTCCTGACTGGTTCCTGTGGGAGGTCCCGCCCCGCCCCACACTTCCCGGGGGTGTGGAGGGAGCGCAGGAGGCAGGGAAAAGGGAGCGCGCCCCCTTCGCCCAGCGCGCCACGGGCTTTCGCGAGCAGCCTCGCAACTGCGACAAAACGACCCTGCTTGGAAAGCGGACCGGAGCCCCCGACGGCCGCCGCTCGGATGGAAACTTAAGCAGGGAGGGCGGAAGCCCCGGACTCGGCCGAGAGCGAGCGAGGCGCCGCGTCGGCGTCATGCTATGGAGAGCAGGGGTCCCGCGGTGCTGGGCTTGCTAGCTTCCTTCGGCGAGCGCCCGGCGGCTGAGGAGATCGCCTCGGCTGCGCCATGGCGAGCGCCGGGCAGCGCGGAGGCGGGAGGCGGCGGCAGCAGCGCCGTCGAGCGGGACTGCGCGGGGGAGAAGAAGGAGCTTCCCGACGAGGCGCTTCTGGAGTTGCGCCGCCGCCGCGGGCGCTCGCTCTCCCTGCCCGCCAGCCCGACGCTGGCGGCCGCGCGGCTCTTCCCGCGGGGCCGCCTCGAAGGGGACAGTGACGGCGACCAGGACGACGACGGAGGGGGGGCGTCGGCGTCGGGGGGCGGCAGCGGCAACTGCTGCACCAAGTGCAAGAAGCGGGTGCAGTTCGCCGACTCGCTGGGCTTGTGCCTGGCCAGCGTGAAGCACTTCAGCGCCGCCGAGGAGCCGCAGGTGCCGCCCGCCGTCCTGTCCCGCCTGCAGAGCTTCCCCATGCGCCAGAAGGACTTCGAGGAGTTCAGCGCCGCCCTGGCGGGCCTGGGCGCTTGCGCCGCGCCGGCCTTGCGCCCGCTGCACTTGCCTCAGGCGCTCCAGTTGGCGCCGCCCGACGGGCCCGGGCGGCTGCAGGGCCAGCGCGTGTGCCTGGAGGAGGCGACGGGCTCGGCTCTGGCCGGGGCCCCCACAGACGTGCGCGGCGTGGTGAGGGTGCTCAGCTGCCCGGGCCCCAAAGAAGTGACGGTGCGCTACACGTTCAACGAGTGGCTCTCCTTCTTGGACACCCCCGCGGCGCCGCTGCCCCCGCCGCCCGCGGAGCCCTGCAGCCCCGTCGAGCGCTACCAGTTCTCCCTGTGCCTCCCGCCCGGTCTGCAAGAGGGCACGGCCGTGCATTTCGCCATCTGCTACCGCAGCCAGCAGGGCGAGTACTGGGATAACAACGGCGGGGCCAATTACACCCTTAGCAGCCCGGAAAAATCCGCGCCTCCCTTTTATTGACACCGACCAGGCGCCCGTCAGCTTGCCTTCCTCGGTTGCCAGAGAACCTCGGAGCAAAGAGCCAGCTGTGCTTTGCCTCGCACCGCGTGCTTTACAGCCTTCCGAGCCCCGCGACCTCCAGGAACTGCCATCACCTTACCTTTGTGCCTTCCACCCCAATCCTTTGGAAAGCGGATCCGGGTGGCCAACCGTGCCTTTGCACTTACCTTAGCCTCGCTGCAGCCAGCCTAGTTCAAGTTGGAGCAAAGGAGAAGCCTTGTAAGGCATCAAGTGAGAAGGAACTGTGGAAATCAGGGCCTGACAATGGGAGAGAGAAGGACAAAGCAGCAACCTGAATGTTACCTGCTTTCTGCTCCAGGCAAACACTGATATGACCTGGTGTCTATAACTGGGGGAGTGACTGATGCTGTGAAACATCCCTTTTTGTGGGGGGAAGTATGCCCCTCTGGAGCTAGAGAGTGGAGTTTGCTGTTCTGGAAGCTTGCAAGAGGTGGTGGTGGGGGGTGGGCGACCATTTCTGACCTGTGCCTTCCGTTATTCTTGTACAGGAAATGACCTCTGAAAGCCAAGAAGGATGCAATTGAATTACAGAAGTCTCTCTGAGAACCAAGCAAACAGAGCTGTTCAAAATACACATGCACGGCTGAGTACTTCCCTGTTACAACTTGAATACCAAGCCTTTTCTTTACACTAATAAACTAGAGGCACTTTGTCTTCCACCAAAGGGATAATGTGCTCTTATTTCTGTAACACAGATGGGGAAGGACCTTTTGGCAGAAATCATAACAGATATTGGCCAAGGGCTTGATGAAGAGGAGGAGTTGTTGTTTTTTGGTCTGTTTTTGAAAAAGGGAACTTTTGTGGCTACTTGTTTGTTGTTTTTGTTTGCACTGGTGATTTTAGTCTTGGTTCCAGTCACATAGCATGTTAAGAAATTATCACTTAAAGCATATCATCACATGTGGGCTTTCAAGGTCTAAGAAGGTGTGAAATGTCTGTCTACTAGAAAATCCACACTGGGATGTAATAGCCCTTTAGGAAAGGTGTTTAGAGTTCTGTGACCAAATGAAAATGAACTTGCTGTAGCTGTGTAGAAGAGGGAATTTCGGCAGGTTTGGGTTTTCCTGCTGAAATTCATCCTTCTCCACAACTATTGGAAGTTCTGGAGCCCCGCCTTCCTTTGCATCCAATCCCGCTTATGTTTGCTCCCTGCTTCTGGCTGGATTGTAGCTGTTGCCAACACACAGAATTAAGCTTTTTGCAAACTGGACACACACTTCAGGGCTTTGCAAAAGTTGATGCATGCATGTGGTAGCGGCATCTGCATGTATCTAGCAGGTAGTGAGGAAGGCAAGCAGCATTAAATAATAATAATCCTTAGCTGGACTACTGCATAGCTGTTGTGTGGATCATCATCCTTGGTGTGTGCCGATTGACTACTAGGTGCTTTAAAATGTAAACCCATTCAGTATTCCTGAAGCTTCTCTTGAGATGACATACCTGTGGCAGTAGCTGCTGAGAGAGCAAGCAACTTTCTTGTGTGATCCACTTCCTCTGGATGTCCCATCTCTGTAACTTGGTTGAGTCCTTTGAAGGGATTCTTACTTTGAAACTTAATGCACTTTTGCAACCCTAAATGGTTTTAAAAAAAACAAAAAACCCACAAAAGCTAGCTGCAGCCTTGCTGCAACTCTGGCTGTGAAGTGTTTAGTAGGAGCAATCATTCTGGGAAATTAGCTGCTAAAACAGGAACAACTTGATGACCACTTAATTGGTGTCTTTGGGACTACTATTAACTAAAGTGGCCGCTGAATAGCACCTTTAGAAGCCTGTCTAGCAGTCAAATTGTATTAAGGTCTCCTCTCCAGTCATGATAAAATGGTCTAATGACCCAAAGTGACAATTAATTGAATTGCCTTTCAAGGGCAAACTCATTTCTTAGCATGCTCTTTCTTACAGTATTCACTCTCTAAAACTTGGAATGGTAGGCTCTTTCCTGCCTGGGATTTGGGGAAAATATTGCTGGCACCACTTCCGATTTTTGTACTTTTCTTCACCCTTCATAAGGGTGTCAACCTTAGCATTCTTTTCTCAAGTAAGGTGACTCAGTAGGTCAGTAGTATGAAACATCTGCCATGTTGAGGGATCCTGTATGGGTTTGTATGAATGCAATAGACTGGCATACCCTCCAAGGTGAAGGGAGATGTGAGCAGGGGTAAGCTTTGCAGAGCCATGTTTGGGTTTATATATGCCTCACTTTGTCCAGTTGTAGCACTGTGCAACCACAACTTATATAATGAAGCATCACCTTAAAGGTTGCTTTAGGAATGTATCTCTAGGAGATTAAGGGGCACTTAGCATTGTAATGAACATGGGGTTTGTGGTATGCAAACATCAGTCTAAAAGTCTTGCCCAGGTATGGCTCCCAAGTGCCACACATGCAGTGTGTTTTCAGAAGCTTGTCCCTATTTAAGTTTTATTCCCGTGACACTGCTCTTCCCTGTTGTGTATGTAGCAGTTGAGAATTCCTTAGCTCAGTGGTACACAACTGGTGGCCTGTGGACCCCAAGAGGTCCACGTAACCCATCCAGGGGGTGGTCCGTGGCACCATTCACATAACAAAAGCTATCACAGAGGTATCACAATTTTCAAAAGTAAGGGGTCCATGGCTTGGCTTTTGAAAAACAGTACTTGCCGTATTTTTCGCTCTATAACATGCACCCGACCATAACACGCACATATTTTTTAGAGGAGGAAAATCCGTAGGCATGCCACCCCTAGGCATTCCCTTCATAACACGCACAAACATTTCCCCTTACTTTTTAGGAGGAAAAAAGTGAGTGTTATGGTGCAAAAAATACGGTAGTTGATTGAGAACCATTGCCCTAGCTGCTTCTTGGTGCACCAGCTATGCAGAACATAATCCTTCTGGGCTTAATATAACATTACAAAATAATAATTTGGATTCTTGTTTGGAAATTTTATGATGTGTTTAAAGTGTTAAATGGCTGCTCTTCCCCCTTCATTTTTTAAACAGAGAAGCTGACTGTGACTCCTACTGTAACCTTGGACTCTGCAGTTGATAACTGTTGGGGACAAAAGTTAAAATGTAGTTGAAGCCTTCTAGTTGCAGGGCAGTAGGACAGAAGTGTAGGGTGTCTCTGTGTACATGCCAAGAGCAACACTGCCTTTCAGTGTACTTTGAAAAATACTGTTTTCCTTCAGCTAGAGTAGCAGTTTTCTCAACATTTTGGAAGAACTTGTTCTGGTCACTTTTTGAAAAAAAAATACTATATTGCAGATGCAGAGAAACCCTGTGGGGTTTCTATTTTTCTTTTAAAACTAGTTTCCAAAATGTATTAAATTAAACGTAGCAATGAATAAGCAAGCACGAGTGCACAAATTCTCCTGAACACCACCCGTTCCTTTTCCTTGGATAAAAAACTGATGCCATGCCAAAGAGCCATATGAGTCATAATGCGGTCACCATAAACTTTGACGCTCCTACCACCTTGAGTGGTAAAGATGCTAGGTTGTGGGGGATGGGAGAAAATATATATTTTCCCATGGGACAATTTTTTTGTATACCTGAGAGCCAGTGGAAGACATAGGTGAGTGTTTTGGTTAGGACATGTGATACCTTTTTGGAAAAAACCCCACAGGGCTTGAATAAGCACTTTTAGAAATGTAAAATTAGGTAGCCTTTGACTTCTTGCCAGCTCAGGTGACTTAGGGTGCCTCTTCCTCCGCCGCCCCCCAGGTTTATTTCCATAAACTATTGGGGGGTGGGGAAGAAACTACTGGTAGTTCTTGCCTGAGATATTCAGAGGGAATGAACAGAGCTGTTAGTCGATATGTCAGAACTGCATACTGTCTTGAACAAGATCATTCTCAGCAAGCAAGGAGCAAATCTCTAGCATGCTATTCTGGCAAAAACTGGTAAGAACTGGTTTTGCACGCTGTGGAGTTCCTCCTGTATTTGCTGTGAATAATCTTGTTGGAACAGCATTCAGAGGAGACCGAGAGCCCGGAGATATCTGGAATTGTGCACAGTATTCTAAATATGGATTGCATTCTGCGTGTAAATGATCACCCTCTCCTTCCAGAGGAATGTCAAATATGCTTCTGTTTTTAGTGCCTTTAGAGGAATATGGGGAAGGGTGAGTTGGGTGGGTGAGTTTTTTTGTTTCTGTTAGACATATTGGAGGAATTCTCTCGTTTGCTTTAATAAGCAAGAATTGTAAACCTTGATGAATAAAAATGCCTTTTCCTGTGAGTTAATGAGGTTGCTTGTCTGCTACATACGACTACATCAATTTTTGTCTTCAGTGTAATCTTTCTTGTGTGTATATCTATCCCATAACTGCTGTACAAACATAACCAGATTGTAGAGGAGGAGAGATTTTCAACACCACAACCCTTTGTTCAATAAAGGCTTATTGGGTTGGCAGCCTTAGATGTTTCTTTTAAATGGGACTCAAATTAAGCAAAGGTTCTGTTTGCTTTCATTTGCTTTTACCCAAGATGGTTGGTTCTTATTTTCTTAAGTTAGGACTTCGGTGTTAACAGATGTTGAGACATAGAATGAAATAATGTGACCAATAAACTTCTGCCCCTTCTCTATGCCTGAGTTTGCCAAATTTCCCAAACATACTGTCTAGTTCCTAAAAGTACATCTCAAGCTCTTTGACTCTTCTGAAATTTGGAGATTTTAAAGAAGTTAACTCTTAAATGTTTAGACTCATTTAATGTATTCCTCTTTTTTGGCAGGTACAGTTCCAGGTGTCTGCATTTTGAGTGCTAGCAGAGCTTACTCTCAACTTTGCTAGTGCGTACCAGGTCTGGAAACAATAAGAGGTTCTGCAGCCATCTGGATTAAAATAAGAAAGAAAAGGAAAATGTGTATTAAGCCAAAACAAATATTGTATATTAAAACTGGGTTCTAAAAGATACTGCAGCTGGTTAAAATTTTATTTGAAGTAAGAGGCACCATTTAAGTATCTTGTCTTGCAGATGTCCTGAAGCTAAAAGTGCCTTCAGGGAAGTGCCTTCATTTATCAAAAACAAAAGAAAATTCAAAACTATAGAGACATGCCAGGCGCTTACCCAGAAACTATTAATGCTGTATTGACATTTTCTGTCATGGTATCATGTCTAAGTAGAGGTTAAGCTGAAAATGGTGATAGCAGTAGGCATGAAGAGGCAAGTGAAAAGCATTATAAATTAGCTTTAGTGTTCACCTTTAGATGCAGGGTTGCTTCTATTTTAAACAACTAGATTGTTTATTTTACAATGCTTAAGGTTGAGTGCAATTTGCCCATCAATTGTAATCTGATCTTGGCCATGTGTATGAAAGTGACAGGCAAAACTGCTGAATATAGTTAAGACTGTGTAAATCGACTTAGGGCTTTTTATGCGTTTCTGGTGTGGCTTTCTGTGCCGCTCGCCATTATCACAATGTCAGCAGCATATGGTGAGAAGGAAGAGAAATAAAAATGGATGCTAAACATCTTAGTTTGGGGTGGAACTTGGGATCTTCTGGCTTATATAGAATCTCCATCTGCCCAAGTAAGCATGTAGGAATGATGTTCAATTGATTGAAACCACTGATGGCACTACTCGTACAAGCAAACTATTGGTGGTTGCGTTTGGATATAAGCCTTCCAGCGCCGTCTTGTCCATAGGTGCTAGGGGTGCGGGGCATCTGGGTGCTGGGCTCTCAGGGGCGCCAGGCCGAGAATCGAGTCCGAGGAAGAGCCCGCCCATCGGTCAGAGCGCTGTGGTTGGTTCTTCTGCTGTGGGTGGCTCTGTGCCACAAGTTCGGGGGCCAGCACGCCCTCCTGTGTGCCTGGGACTGGGCAACCGGGGGGGGGGGGACCAGGCAGCACCCCAGCACCGCATATGCTTAAGACAGTCCTGCAGCCTTCAATGAAGGCTTCTAGGATACCATTAACTTGCAGAACATCACTTTCTTCAGGTAAATCCATTCTGTCTGATGAACGGTAGACGCTCACAATAATATAGAGCTGGTTTTGTCACTCTTCCCTAAGCTCCCCTACGTGTGCCTGCCTGGAAACTGCAATTACGCTTGTCTGGAGGAGGTTCTGCGATGCCTGCTTTGTAGAGGAGTCATGTAACTTGTATGGTGGAACTGCTTAGGTGCCATAGTTAAGAAGCCTTTGTTTACTGTAATTCCTTTAGAAGCATGGCTAATTCTGTGTCATGAGATCCGTCCGGCTGAATGCTGGTAGCCACGCTGTAGGAACACAAGCCTCTGTAATTAGTATAGGTCTGTATGACACGAGACGAAACCTACTGAAGGCAGCTTGGTGGCCATGAATGCACGCCAAGTGCAGTACACACCCAGGTTTACTTAGCCCTGGGTATTGTGCCAAGCACGGTTGGTGGATCAGAAATTCTTTGGAACATTCCCGTAAATCTAGCAATTGTGGACATGGCCTATGAGGTTTAACCTTTCTTAAAGGCTCTCCATGCCTTTTTTTGATTGGACTCTCAAGTGCAAGGGAGCAATATGGTGTCTACAGATGTAGCAGATTGTTAATCATGTTTTCTAGTAAAAAGCCTGGATGTTTTTGTAAATTTCAGAAAATTGTTGTGTTCTTTTGACCTTTGAATTAGCAAATAGCCTAATTTTGGTGCCTGACATTTCAGCAGAGATTCGGACTCGATAAGGAGGCTGATAGGATCAGCAATATGTTCGAAGCAACTCCTTCCCTTCTCCCATCCCCTCGCCACCACCTTTGTACAGTGCTTATCAATTGATGAACAAACTGGAACATTTCTTGTTGCTGTAAACAGGGGGCTGGGGGGCAAATCTTTTCCTTATATGTCTATAAAGAAACCAAATTTCTGGTGTCAACTAGTATGATGATCCAAGTGCTTGGGGAAGGAGGGGGAAGCATTGATTAAAAATGCACTTGAATGCTTCACTGAAGAATAAGGGCTGAATGTGGTGCTACAGTCAAACTTGCTTCTAGTGGTTGTTTCATAATCTTGTGCAGCTTCTAGATCCCCAGCTGAAGTGAGAGCGCTACTTATAATGCATAACGCACACAATATATTTTAACAAGGTCCAATGGTGTCCGATATATATATACCGTATTTTTCGCACCATAGGGCGCACCGGACCATAGGGCGCACCCAGTTTTTAGGGGGGGAAATCAAGAAAAAAATCTTTTCCCCCCCAGCCCCAAAGAGCAGCGTACAGGGTGCGCACAACCTCTCCCTGCCGGAGGGGTTGCGAGCAGCTATGGAGCAAGCCAAGTTTTGGCTTCCCCTTTAGCCCCATGCAGCCTCTCCTTGCCGGGAGACGCTGCACAGGGCTAAAGAAGCCATAGCCCCATGCAGCCTCTCTTTGCGGAGGGGTTGTGCGCGGCTATGGAAGAAGGCAAGGCAGCAAGCGGGATGGATCCCGCTCGCTGTTTTGCCTTCCCCTTTAGACCCGCGCAGCCTCTCCTTGCGGAGGGGTTGCGCGCGGCTATGGAAGAAGGCAAGGCAGCGAGCGGGATGGATCCCGCTCGCTGTTTTGCCTTCCCCTTTAGCCCCGCGCAGCCTCTCCTTGCCGGGAGATGCTGCGCAGGGCTTTCCTGGCTTTTCTGGGAGGTGGGGGAATTCCCCCACCTCCCGCAAAACCGGCAGAAGCCGCGTGCACTTTAAAAGGGCTGCACGGCTTCTCCTGGCTTTCCTGGGAGGTGGGAGAAGGGACTGATGCGGCCAGTCAGTCCCTTCTCCCTCCTGTGGAAAAGCCCGCAAGAGCGCACGGAGCTTGTGTGCGGCTCTTGGGGGCTTTTCCCGCCTGCCTCCCCCCTGCATTCGCTCCATAGGACGCACACACATTTTCCCTTGCTTTTTAGGAGGGAAAAAGTGCGTCCTATGGTGCGAAAAATACGGTATTTAAGACTATGGTCACGGAGTTCACAAGGTGACAACCAAATGATTATTCTCACCATGCTTGTAACCTCCTCAGAAGCACTGGCTTAACTATTGGGAGGCATACTGTTAAGGCTAGATGTACCTTTAGGTTAGGTTTGATTTTTAAAAACACTAGGTGGGCTGTATCCCATTGGCCAGACCTCTGCCTCATCACTGTTTTCATGCCTGGTGTCACTGTTTTCTTTTGGCACTGTACATGTTCAGTTTTGTATGAGAATACCACACAGCTGCCGTGGCAGGGATTGTGTGCATAGGACCCACCTGTCAATTAATCTGGCATCACCCTGATGTCGAGGGAAGTGTTTTTTTTTTATGTGCGTGGTTTGAAATCAAACAGAACAAAGGCACAGGAATTTGCAAGTATCAATGATCAGCTGACTAGTGGTGCCTACAAACTACACTTTTGGCAGGGAGCTGCATGTTTACCTGCCCCATTGTTGACCTGGCGCAGCTTGGGAGGGGGAGCCTTGTGGGCCAAACTGCCCTTGCCACTGCTGTGATATCGCATACCAAGTGAATACCTGTATATTTGTAGCCTCTGGAAAACACAGCACTCCATTGCTCAGGTGCCGGAAAGCAATCCTTTTAAGTTGTAAATTTCATAGCTCGTCAGATAACATGTTTTAAGTAGATTAAGCCCCCATGGAATTTTGAAATGCTTAAGCAGTGTTCAACAAAACTATGGTTCCCTATACTTAGGGAAATTCGGTTTGTCCTGGAGTGGAAGCTAAAGTTCAAACTGCCTGCAGTGCATGAACTTAGTAAAAATTGATCTAGGACTGCAGTCTTAGAACAGGAGTGGGGAACCTTTGGCATTCTAGATGTTGCTGAAGGACAGCTGCCCTCAGCTCTGGCAAGCATGGCCAATGGCCAGAGATTTGGGGAGTTGTAGTTCAGCAACACGAGGAGGGTCTCAAGTTCCTACACCTGGTTTTGAGAGTGTCACAAATTCTACACTGAATTCCCCAAGCTGCAATAAATATTCATTTACCAGTTTCTGAGCTAGGTGAAAAGACATTAACTTGAGTAGCAGAAGCAAGCAAACCTCAGTTTATGGAATTTTATTGGCAAGAAAACTTGATATAAGCAAATAGTGACAGTCATGGCAACTCATTGTTATCATCTTACTGGCATATTGAAAGCACACTATGAAAAATTCTGGACAGCTTATGTTAAGACTTAGTGAACAACGTGGAGAAACAAGACAGCTCAAATATACATAGAGAATACAATATGTTCAAGTAAAAATCTGTGCGTGTTCCAGAATACTGAGGCTAATCCGCCACTGCTACAGGCAAAGAAGAGTTCATCCACTATCAGACGTTCTGTGGGCATTCGATAATTAACTTCTCCGTTGAATAAAGTTGACCAATGGTGACCTAAAAATAAAATAAAACAAGTGTTGTAACTTTTCCCACACAGTTTTTCTTACAAGAAGGGAATGATGGAAGCACAAAGTATAAGCACAAGATGATCATCTGTGTTGTGTTTAGTCTA